CCTTCTATCTGCGGCCATCAACCAAACTGTCAACGTAGACAAGATCCACACACCAGGTCTGTAAACACTTGTATCAGCTGTTTTATTGTTTAACTAGTCACTTAACCAGTGCTTTGCAATATACACTGTATAGGGTATCCACTCAGCTGTAAATATGTAAACCGTTTGAGAGCTGTGGATTTTTCAACTGTGAACAAACTTGGATTGAGCAGTGAATTTTTTTATCTAAAGATGGGCCGATTTTAAAGACTATAGTTAGTCTTACTGGGTTTAGTAAAAAAAAAAAAACGCAATTTATGAAAAATTTCAGTTTTGTTATATCAGTATCCATGCAATATTTTTGCCGAAATTGCAGGATATAATAATGATGTCATCAGTTTCATCAGTGTCATCGGTTTCGAGATTCGATAGGCGAGTTACGAGATTCAAAAGTTTCTAAATAGGAAGTTTTGGCACTTATAAATTTGAAAATTATGTCATTTTTGTGTCATTATTATTGTTTATAACATTGTTTACACACAAGCTGGTAGCAATGGAGCAAATACATTTCCATTAACACTAATGAAACAAGTAAATTGTGTTCTGAACTGCAAAAGGCATCTTAAATACTGGAACAATTTACAATTCAGTTTCATATCGATATTCAATACTTATTAAACACAAAGAAATATTGACCACTAAATGTTTTAATTAATGTAATATTCATGTTCATTTCAATATCAAGAGTTTTATTTATATTAATGTTAGTTGTTAAAAAAATAATTTTATTTTGGGTTTGAAGTCACATTTATGTTGTTATTATGTCTTGTCTTGATCAGGAGTCAATCTCTTTCAGTTTTGATGGCATAATCATAATGAAAATGTTATCATTACCCGTATTTTTATTTTTTAGCAACCTTGACCAGGTAACTAAAAAGTGTCTCGCTCAGGTTTTGAGATTCGAGATTTGATTTTTTAAGTTTCGGTTTTGGTTTATCAGTGAGAGGATCGTATAAAAACTGAACTAGTCCTAGGAACTTGCTTTAGGAACTTCATAATACAATTTCATAAAACAATCTTCTAAAACTAAATCCAAAACAAAAAGTTTGCATGTATAGCTCTAATGAATGTTAATACAGTATTTTTTTTTTTAATTTCTGGTTTTGATCTTCACTAGATAAGGCTGATTCAGATTTCTCTAAATGTTTGATGGCGGAATTATTCCTAAAAATGTCAATACCATTAAAATCATATCAGAAAAAACTGGTCTTTAAGAACCCTATCTGAAATATTCAGTTGCTACTACAACTAACTGTGAATCCATTGTAACTTCTGTCCTTCTAGTTTAACAATATAGAAACTAGAAACCATGTGAACTTGTAGGTAAATACACCATGGCAGGCACTAACCTCTAGTCACTGGGGTTTGAGGAATTATGGTGGACATTTCCATAAATAACAAGCTTTTTCCTTAAAAACAAGTTTTTACGACATTCCGGGATCTGAAACCTGATTCCATCAGTACGAGTTATATGTTGTGTAGGTATTTTTTTCCATAGTTGCTAATGTGATAATTCTTCCAATATTATATTGTAAACCAATCTCAGTCATCTTGGACTGAAACCTAGTACATTTTTTACCATTACCATTTTGGTTTAAAAACTGATAATTTTTATGTATAAGTAATACATTCAATTTGTTACTTTTTAGACCTTGGAGGCACCGCTACGAGCACAGATGTAGTTCAGAACATCATCAAACATATCCTTGAAGCGACAAAGTCAATGAAGTGGTGAGTAGTAACTATTTTTTGTTATAAAGTATCATATTAAGTCCATTCAAGTGATTTTCACATGTTACAAATCATTTATTGATTACCAAATCGTTTTCTTATATTTGAAAATTGATTTTATCAAACAAATTATGAACAAGTCAACAAAATGTTGATAGAGAAATGATTTAAAACATTTAATGATATGCATATTTATCCATCATAAATGATTTGAGAAAAAAACTATTCGAGGGTAATAATACACTCTTTATGTTTATTATTTATTTCTACACATTTTTGGGTCAAGGTTAAATTAGACATGTCTCAGAATTTGAAATATATTTTTTAATGAGTACAAATAAGAGAAATACAAATTTAAATTACCAAACCACAATTCTGGTGATCCAAGACATGTTTTATTTTGTGTTTTGGTTTTGCAAAATTATGGCTTTCTATTTTTAGTTTTATGCAGTTTATTCTTATTTTTACTTAAGCAAGTTTAGAATTAGAATAGAGATTGTTTGTGCATGCTTGCAAGCTTTGCTTTACTTTTTGTTTCAACTTGTTTGTTCTGTTTGTTTACTTTTGACTTTGTTAATTCCTCTCCTTTTCTCCTCTTTCTACCTCTTTTCTATCCTTTTTCAGATTTTGTCTAGTCAACTTAATGAAGAAACTCTGTTTTATTACAAATATAAATAAGGAAGTTTGGGAATACCTAGAAGTCTTAATTTTTTTTTCATTGTTACATTTTTATTAAAATTTGATTTTCAACCTTCGAACTTCACACTTTACTATTTGTAAAAACCCTCTTTTAATATAGGGGTTTCAAGCTTAATGTTATAAAATACCTTATGAACTTTTGTTTAAGATAATATAAAAAACTGTGGAATCTTGTTTTGTTTTTTATCTTCAATATCCAATAAAATCTTCTGTTTCAAAACATCTGTTATTATTTAATTTCGTTAGTGTTTATTTAACTTCTTGATTATTGTGTTATTTATTAATATACTTTCTTTTCAGCATTACACTTAGCTTTCTAGCACTCATATCTATAAAAAAATATTTTAAGTACAATAATATTTTATACAGCTTATAATTAGTTCTCACAAATACTAGTTTCATTAAAAGTCAAGTTAATATGTTTGAGGCTTTATTAAATTAGAGGTTAAAAATGAATTTGCCAACACTGGAAAATTATAAGGTTTCGTTTACGATTTTCCCCATTGGTGTGGAGAAGGAAAGAATGCTATGTTAGTCTATGAAAACTTGTTGTTGGATCTTAACTTTCTTGTGGAGAATATTTTTACAAAGGTTGTTTATTGTAGTACTTAAAATGAAACTAACTGTTATTCCAAATTAAACTGAATAAAATACATGACAACTATTTAACATGATATGATCAACTAAATACTCTCTCTGGAAATAATTTTGTATATTGATAAGACGGTGCTTCTTATACTCTGAAGTTAAGAGTATACAAAATAGAAACACATTTAAACTGATATTTTGCCCCTTCTTCAGAGGTAGAATGGCAGTTACAGTTCTAGCACTGTTTTAATATTTTTTTTGTCAGGGTTGCCAACACTTCATTTGTAGAAACAAACTGCAAATTATAAACTGTATGTACACATATATATTCACACCATTGCTTTTACTGTAGCCTACAACTGTAATTATATACAGAACGTGGAAATTGTTTACAAATTCGGTGATGAAAGTTACATGAGATACTTGTTTGGTTAACAATATTATGTTGTAATTATACATGTTGTGTATGCCAGAGCCATACTAATCTGCCCCCACTGATCTGAACCTAGTGTTGAGAAAGAAGTTACTGTTTTCAAATTAACAAAAAAATTTAACAAAAATATTTTGTGTTCTGAAATACTAACCGGAATGTCCAGCCTGCTGGGAATTGAATATGAATTTGCAAGATCAGGAAAAATCCATGATTTGTACTTGAATTTTGCATGAAGCCACATAATTTGGGATATTAGGCTATGACCAAGCATTCCACGTTAATTAGTTTATTTCCCATAATGATAACTTGGTAGACAATGTACTGCAATAAGTCTGTCAACTATTCTGCAAAACAATAGTAGTTGAATAAAAATGAAACAGTAACAGAAAACAAGTTAGTAAACATTAAACAACATTTTCTTTTTTAAGCAGATTCCTTTGTACCTGTACAATCTCTTGACTATTCTAAACTAATCGTTAGAGCTAGTTACTTCAGTAGTATTCCAGTGTTTTTTATCTTTCTCATAGCAGAGTGTAACATTTTAAAATTAAGTTTTATCTGAAACTCAAACAACATTTTGTATAATAGTTTAGATGTGATATGGTTTGGTTTTTTGTAACCATTGGTGAGAGTACTAAACCGTAATGCTTGATCCCCACAAACCGGTGACCTGTGGTTGTGTTTGCCCTAATTGTGCAAGCATGGAATGAGGCGCTAACTGCTTGAGAGTGCAACAGCCGCCATCTTGTTGTTATTTAAGACAACATTGTATTTTTCAGACGAGCTACGCCCCGCAACGCTCTCTCGTCTTTCTGTAACCTTCTTCAAGGCGAGGAAGTTTTCTTCTCCAAACCGCCCTTGGTTTTACGTTATTATTTTATTTGTCAGCTCGTAGTAATTCTTTCAGTTCAATTTGAAACTTGATTTAACAGTCTCAAATTATTTGAAAGATATATTTTTGATATTTATTTATTAGTTTGATTCATAAACCATTCATACACCAAGCTCTGGACATATTGAATTTGAATAGTAAGACTGTTTTGCACTTTAATTGTTACCAATAGCATAATAAACAATGATGACATTTGCCGTCATTTCCTACTTTTAGCTGCTAAGTTAGTGTATTTGAAAAGGTATTGTTATTATTAAAAGTTAATTTTTCTTGTTCCAGGACTAGACATTAACGGAATCTAAAGGTTGGTACAAAAATTTATTTTATACCTTAAAACAATATGTTTTCTCCAAACTGATACTGTAACAGTATTATTTCTGTAAATGTATTTATTTCTCTTAACTCTTCTTTTACTTCTCTCTTGTTTTTTATCAAATATATGTAAAAAATAAATCAGTTAAGTTGTATAATGTATTTTGTTTATTTCATCATCCCGTTTATAGAAAATAATAATGTCATAAAGTAAGGCAAATGAGATTTGTTAAAAATATGAGTATTTTGAGTAAAAATAAATGTCTTGTTGTTGAATCAATTATGGAATGTTCACATATTATTAAGTAAATAGACTTTATTTTAAAAATGCTTTCTACAATGAAATATGAATTCAAATTAGATTGATTGAAAATATTTTTACTTTAACATTCTTTAAAATATACTGGTAGGCACATAAATTTGCTAATAGAGCAATAACACATGTTGCCATAAAATCTTTTGTCTGTGTGATGTCATGGTATGATTTTCATTAAAACATACAATACAAGGATAAAGTATACAAATGAGAAATATGTTTATTCTATACATTTTATACTGCTAAAATTCATACTGTGAGACAAATATTGATATGTTAGATATTGTAGTTCCACCATATATTCCATTGTAATAAAACTTCATGATGAGTTGAAGAAATATATCTTGAGGCCCCATGAGGGGTTTGAGCAATCGAATGTTAGCGATGTTGTGATCTGATGACACCAGCTGGAAATCTTCCAATGTTGCGACTGGTACAGATGGTGGTGCGTGTACCTGAACAGGGACAAGTATATACCAACTGATAACTTAAGAGTAGTAGAACTTTGAGGGTTTGAATGAAATCAAATGTGTTATTTTCTTTTGAAACTAATAAAAAATTACATCAAAGTTTAAATGGAACACTATTGGCTTGTTTCTGAAACTGAAAAAAAATTCTCTTCACATTTCATCTAATGTTGACTGGTGAAATGTACTTTTAATTACCTTAGTAGCAGCAATAACATACTATAATCATTGAAGCAATCGGTTGGGTGGGTAAACATTTCCTAGTAACCAATTGTAATTGCATTCTGTTAAAACAATAATGGTTTTGATAAATGCAATCCTGTTGCCAATTTTAAAAACCGATGTACTTTGATACTATAACAAGCATAAAAAGAGACTTAAAAAGATAATTTCATTAAAAGTTCTTTAGTTTCATAAGATTCTCTCATAAGATTTTTAAATCACACTAACAGGTAAATGAAACATCCTACGACCTATTTTTACCAAATAATGTAAAGTAAACACATTTTTGTGGGCCAAGATTTAAGAACAATATTACTCAATATTTACGTTGATGATCACCTGAGTACTTGATTGTACGTATTGATAGTTAGTATGTTGTTTAACCTCCAATCAAGAACTCAGGCAATCATCAAGGTAAATATTGAGTAATACTAACAAATTGCTGAGTTGACAATATAAACTTGTATTTAATTTTTGAACTGAATTTAAATTTAAAAGCACCATTGACACCCTACCTTATCTAGTTGAAGATCAAAGGCTACATTCGTAGAGGACCACACTGGACCTCGCATCATGAAGAGGTCCAAAGGTCCTTCCGCCCTGGTCGTCAGGTTCGATACCAGAGTGATGAAGTGAAATGTGTAAGTCAGAGGTTTCTCTAAACATTCTGTGTCTCCATCCCGACACGACATTGTTATTCTTTTGCATCGACTAAAATCAACAGAAATGTTCTGTTACATATTTTTTTTTATATTGTGGGTGGCAGCTGATATAGCTAAGGAGCTTATAGGCAATAAGAGATGGAGCTGGCTTCCTGGTTTTCCTGGAGAATTTATTGGTCTAGATAACACATGTGAAACAGTGCTTTAATGGCTTACTAATTTGGATTTAGATCTATGAAGGAACACATAAGTACATATTTACTCAACATTTACATTATGTTTTCATTTAAATTATTTGAAGTTAATCTCACTTCCTTGACAGCGAATGTTTCTCCCAAGCAACTATTTCTTCCAGTTTTATTTTAAACGTTTTTCATAAATGTAAGTGCCAGACTGCCTGGATTTTACTGGGAACTATTAAGAAATATAGTTTCAATAATGCCCTTTAAAACCAATTTATCTAGATCTGTTTGAATAAAATATAATTAAACTCTCGGTAGTTGAGTGGTTTAAGTGCTTGCTTTACAATCAGAAGGTCGTAAGTTCAATCCTGAGAAAAGATAACAGCTTTTTGGTTCGAAACTGGACCCAGCTATACTTGATCATAATGGCTAAACTAAATATTGGCAAAACAGCTGATCTTTGTGAACAAAAAAGTTACACAAATTATCCACTCTATTCCACACTCCTGCATACAAATTCGACTCTCAATACATGCAAAACGCACAGCACTGTCTTAGTAAAATGATTAAGAGGCGGTTCACGAGTACGGGGTTTCGTGGCCCGCGGTTATCGTTGATCTCGACCAATTTTAACCGACGGTTAAAAATTGGGTTCACGACATAGAGCGTTAGCCGAGATCAAGCTTAGCCGAGACCAACACTGGCCGTCGCTCAAGAGCAGGGATTAACTGGGAATTTTCGTTGGGAGGTTGGCAACAGCCACCTGCCGGGCCGCTGCTCGCGGTCGACGAGCCCCAAAACAAGAGGATGACATTGCGTCATAATGATTGGTTCATAAATTATTATAATTAAACAGAGTATTTACTGATATCGTATAAAAGGTTGTGGACTTGCACTTGAATTCATTTTATACTAAAGTTTAAGGTTACTCAATTTATCATTGAATTATGAATAATACACTTTTACTGAGTACATTGAATCGGGAAAATGCAATTATGTTTTAAAATAAGTTTATACAAATCTTGGTAATGTTTGCAATAAAATTCGATTACCAATTATGTTAAAAAATAAGACATACTTTATCAGGTTTGCAGTTGTATCCAAACGTTCAAATTATTTAATAAAATGACTGCTCTTTTCAAAGATTTATGAATATCTTTTATGTATCAGTAATTTGTATAAAAAATCAATTTCTAGCAACAACTGGCTATTATAGGAGCAGAGATGCCTTCATACGTATACAGTAATAAACGTAAATATAAAATGGCAAACCTACAATAACATTTTATGACACCAAGATCTTGTAAATCAGTTCACAATTGGGGCTACAAACAGCAGGCCTAAGAACTAAGCCCCTAAGAACATTTGCGCGTGCCAGACGGGCAGAGCGCAGCCCTAAGCATGAGAAAACAGGTTATAATTTTAACAAATATTTTGTTGTGATACAACGTTTTGTATATTTAACTATATAATTTATCATTTACCTCAGCAAATTGAAACAATTTATTGTAAATCCCGATATGACAAATATTAAGACATTATCAGATGAAAAGGTCTTTCTTTAACAAATCTTAAATCATAAACATAATAATATAAACATATAATTTAAAACATACGAAATAAAAAAATTTGGATACTTAAATAAAATGACCTATGTTTTATATGAATTTTATGGCGGAACAAAAATTGAACTAATTTTATACAATAAAAAATCTTAGACAAAACTAACAGTGTTTGCTGGAACCATTTTTATTTTGATATTATTCAGCTGAAATAAAAGGATTCAAAATTGCTAAAATAAATATAAAGAATTTACAAAATAAGATTCGATTGCAATTTAAATTTATATGAATATGTTAAGCTATTAGTTATATTTTTACTTAGTAATAATTAATCAAAATGCCCCAACAGTTACTTTTTACGATGTTTTGCATGTTTTCGGCTATCAGTAGTAAAAAAATAAATATCATGTTGAGGGTAATGAAATTGTTCGGAATTTAATGGCGAATCCGAATATAACATTCTTTTTGCTAACAAAAAAACAATAAACGAGCAAATGAGATAATCCCGACATGATGTCACCTTAACCCTGCCCCCTAGCAGGGTTAAGTTGAAGACCAAAACCATTGTTATTTACGCTCGAGATTATCCAGTTTGCGCTAGACCATGACTCGTGAACCCGACATTTGGCCCGGGGTTTTCTCTAATTGAACCCGTGAAGCCGACTTTTTGCGCTCGGGTTTATCCCTGTCATAATTGGGTGAAGTTTATCTGTCTGCGCTCGAGCGCGGGTAACCTCGTACTCGAGAAGCCGATTTCCAAGCCGCGGCGCAAAAAACCGGCTATAACTGGATTTTGCGCTCGAACTAAGGATAACCCGTGACTCGTGAACCGTCTTTAAGTGATACATTTCTGGTCCTACAGAACTTACTTTTTATGCTGTGTATCTTTTATGTACTCCGTAGGACAAGCAGTTGACACACATCTATAAGTTCCCCGCATGTTTAAGCAAATTTCATTGCGGTTAGTGCAATGGTTGCTGCCACTGCATTCATCAATATCTGTGAAAATATGTATATGAGTCAACCATTGATATTCTCAAATACAAATGTATTTAAGATTGTGTTTCATTTAAGTGATTAATTGGTTTTGAAACAATTTTACTTCCTTTTTTAATATGGTTGATTAATTAAACGTTTTGAAATTAAAGGAGCTTGAAAATCAGTTTCTTTTTCGTGAAAAGAAATGAACTTGCTTTTAAGAAAACAATTTTTCTTTCACAACAAATTAAGAATATCATTTGTTTTAATTAATAAATTATGTGAATATATTTCTGTGATTTATTATTTTTTATTCCAATTACAATAACGTTTGCCATTAATTAGAGGTTTTCACCACAATAAGGTAGAAGAACACTAGGGATTCAATTAAGATTAGTGTTGGGCAAAAAATGACCCTATTTGAAAGTACAGTGTATCAGTTACTTTACTTGATTCTTCCTATTAAACTTTCATTAAAGTTGGTTCTTAGAATACTGAATCCGTCATGGCCAGATTTGTATGTTCTGGATAGAGCTGATTAATGGGTATAGTGTGATACCATCATTGAAGGTGTTTTGTTTTGAAAACTAGAACATTCAGATATTTAGAAAAATAGTTTGAAGCAAATAAAAACAGTTTCTTTATTTGAGGTGTTTCCACTGAAATCCCTACAATGTGTAAGATTAATGTCTTTTGCCGATGTACCTTGGCACGAAGCTCCATCTAAGCCTAGACGGTACCCCTGGGGGCATTGACAGGAGTATGATCCTGGTTGGTTGACACAGTAGCCGATACATAATCTCCGATCCTTAAACACCTCACATTCGTTTATATCCACACACGTCCTGTAACATAGAGTATAATGTCATGATGCCAAATAAGAGTTGATTGTTTGGTGCAGATTGTACTATAGATATGACCATACTTCATACCACCTGATCATTGTACCAACTATAAAATATTATACAGGGTGAAGCAGACCGTGTACACATACTTTTACAGGAGTACGTTTTCACCTAGAAACGTGAAATATAATTATTCCCCCTTAAATCACATATGATGAATCTATTTAAAATACTTAGATTATAATCCAAGAACAGGGTGTTCCAGAAATGAAGGTCAAAGGGGTTCAAATCTCAAAATTTCCCTATGTCAACCTATAACATCGTACATTTTTAGATAGGTCTTGCTTAGAACAACATTATGGTGAAAACAGAACTCAATTATCTCAATTTGTTTAAAAATGGCTGAAATTTTTTTTATTGCATTGCCAAACAATAAAATTTTGTTTTTATTTTAGGCTTTTGAAAGTAACATGCATTTTATATGGGAAAATTTAATTTTTGGTTTATTATTTAAATCCTAAAAGAAATAGACAGTAGGTGTTAGTTGGGAAGTTGTTCATCTTAACAAGGCGCTTAAAATTATATGCTATTTGACATATGTTGTCATTTGATTTTTTTATTCACAAGACTACCAACAGTTCTTATCAGGCGCTCAGTTCTTATCAGGCGCTCGTGGAGAGCGGACCTCCTTATCTGTTCATGTCCGGCTAGTTTCCTCGTTGCAAACTGTCCAGCTCATACCTGTCAGTGTGTTGTGTTATTGTGATTTTTTATAATTAATAAACTATTTACGCGGTTGGTGAAATCGGGGATAGCCAAGTGGCGTTGGTGAAAAGTGTTTTTTATACAGTAAAGTGGCTCAGAACATGACAAGTGAAAAGTGCGGTAAATGTGAACTACTGATTGATCAGCAGAAAAACTTAATTAAATGCACGGATTGTAATTCTCCGTTCCATTTAACCTGCTGCAGGAACGCGTCTGGAGATTCTTCGAAGAGGCTGACTAGGAATTCATACAAGTGCGAAGGCTGTGTATCCGAAAACTCATCGACGAACAGCAAGATGGGTCTTGATCGCGATACGGCGACTATACTAGATGCGATAGCCGCGCTACGTAAAGACACTAATGAATCTTTCATCGGGTTACGGAAGGAAAGTTCTGAAATGTGGCAGCAAACACAAAATAAATTAGATAAAGTCGAATGTGATATAAATATCCTAACAACGGGCCTCGGTGAAGTCAAACTACAATATGATGAAGTGAAGAGTAAAATAACAGCTACAGACATAAATGTAGAGAAACTACAGGAAGAAAACATAGAACTACAAACCAAAATACTAGATATGCAGACTGAAATCGAAGAGATGCAGCAATATTCCCGTATAGATAATATCGTTATCACAGGAGTGCCCATGCTTAAAGGCGAAAATGTCTTCATGATCCTAGCCGACATTGCCAAAGTCCTCAATATTAACTTCCACCGGTATGACGTGTCGGCTGCCCATCGTCTTTCAAATAAAATGTCCAAAGGTCGTCCTCCCGTGATTGTCGTGAAATTCTCGTCCAGAACTATTAAATCTGAATGGTTAGACGCTAGAAAAGAAAAGGGATCTTTAAAAGCCAACGAAATCCATCGTATCTTTCCTGATTCGACTGTCTACTTTAATGAGCACTTGACCGAACACTCTAGAAAGGTCTTTAACTTAGGCAGGGATATGGTCAAAGAGAAATGTCTGGCTTATGTCTGGGTGAAGGACGGGCGCATACTCGTCAAGCAAACGGAACAAGGGAAAACCATCCGAGTAAAAACTGAAAACGATCTCAAGCGAATTCGTCGTTCTTCTTCTGGACCTGCCGCTCTCAAAGATGAGGTCTCCGAAGCCGCCGCCCCCGGGAACGCCACCACCCCAGTGGTCAACTCAGATGCCCCAAGCTTCACCCCCGGTGATGTTGACTCCGCAGCCTCTACCGCCGCCCCCACTGTCACCACCCCACTGACCAACACGTACGCCAAGACACTGGCCTCACCAGCTAAACCTGGGGTACCCTCAAAGTAAAGTTTTAACACCATAAATTGTAAGTCCCTTTTTTAGAGTATACTTTTTATTTAGATGCATAGTATTTATTTATTTTCTCAGAGTACCTATCAAATTTAATTTTTTCATTAACCACAGTTTATCTGTAAAGAAACAGTTCAGTAAATGTAATATGTATGTGTTAAATCTCCTATAAGTATAGATATCTTTTACCTGAAACAAAAGTCAATTTTAGATATCTTTATTTAATACCCCATAGTAATTTTAGTTAAACTCATGCAAATCAATAATGTGTCTTTTATAACGATAAAGAGAAATACAAATAGCATCGTAATTAGGTATCTACTTACACACTACAGTATACTCTTTTAGATGTAACAATACTTTTTAGCTATAACAATTGTTTAGTTGCTTTTATGGTAACCAGAAAAATATCTTACGACATAGTTAGTTTCCACGAAAAGTAGTTGTTTATTAGGTCTTTTTATTTTATTTAATAATTTGTTCAATAATAGTAAAAGTATATTTTAGAGATACCACAGTGAAATTATAAATAATACAGTCAAATTAAATACCACTTTAGTGTAACCAAAAACAATAATACATTAAACTATAATTATTAGTCAATTACAAATACATAATACGTATTACAAATAATTAATATTATAAATAGTTAATTTTGTGCGTTATTACAAACGTATTATCATTATTATTACGTATGGTTATTATTACAAGTACAGTAAACTTATTACTTTTCAAAATATAGTCAGAAAGCTATAGAGGGGATTATTTCATTTTTTATTATAGTTAAATTCTAACAAATGAAAAGATAATAGTCAATCTAGTAACAAGAACTATATTTCCAAAACACATATAACAAGAAAGTAGTATTCACCAAGAATTAGCCATTTATCTGTATTAACAGTTGCTCAAAAGAGTTGTGTAGGTTTAGTGTAATATAATAAATATGAGATATGGGTTCAAAGTATTTAATGTGTTCATCAAATCTAATGCCATTCATTTGTTCATTTATTTCATTCTATTAAATTGTCATCCACTTTTAAAATATCAGTATGTAAAAAAACCCCTCAACATTTTCAAAAAATAATGTCTCAAATCTCAAATCATCTAAGGTTGGTCTTGTATCTAACAATTACATTTTGCCAATAACCCTTCCTTATAAGAGACTAAAGCCCACCTTGTTAAAAAAATGTTGGCGTATATTTTCATTTTATAATTTCATTTTAGTAGTAATTTTACCTTGATGAAAGGAATGTGGTAAGGATGTGTCTTTAGATAAGACTAAGATAAAATCATAATTTTCGGAAATCTTATTTTTTGTGATTTTCCAATCTCCTTGGCATTGTAGGATTTATTTTAATTAAATATGTGTGTAAATGAGTGTATTTATAGCAGAACATTCCTATATGAATAATTAATATTTAGGTTCGTAATAAACATAAAGAAACACGACTTTGGATCTGTTAAATTAATTAGGCTGGATGGTTTTGCGATAGGGACCGGGTATGGACATGTTAAACGAGGAAGATTATAACGAATTTCCAATTAAAGAATGTAATGTTTACTCCGATATAAGTACTCTTAATTCTTGTTTTGATTTATCTCAAAGTAATTTCGGGTCAAGGTTTAGAATAATCCATCAGAATATAAGGAGCTACAATAAAAATTTTGACGAATTTTGTGCGTTTCTCCAAGGAATAAAAACCCATTTTAATTGCATAGTACTAACAGAGGCATGGTTAAAAACAGATTCTATTTTAGAAAGTATTCCGGGTTACAATATTTTTAGTTCAAGCAACAATCTTAATCAAAGCGATGGTGTAGTTGTATATCTAGATAACTCTTTATCTGCAACCTGTAATCAGCTGTTGATCGGCGGTGTGGCCACTGCCTTATCTCTGACCTTCGACTGGGACGGTCAACCTTGTGAATTACTAGCCGTTTACAGGAGCCCTAATTCTAACCTTCAATTGTTTCTTGATGGTGTTTATAACTATTATAATTCCACTTCCCATTCAGAGTATGTTCGTATTTTCTCTGGTGATATAAATTTCAATATTTTAAACCCATCACTTAACTCAGCTGAAGAAAAATATGTTGACATCCTTAGTGATTTTGATTTAATACAATGCATTGACAAAGTAACTCGCCCTGAAAGTAACGCATGTCTTGACCACTTCTTTTTGAAATTAAAATCATTTCATTCAGCATATCCCGCGGTTATTGAAACTAATATAACGGACCACTATCCTATTGTTCTAGAAATTTCTAAACCTAGTAAACAACATCCAATCTCGAAAGATTCATTTAAAATAAAAATTGATTGGAATAAAATTGATGAAAAACTAAAAGAATCTGATTGGCAGAATATTACCAATTGTAGAGAAATTAATACCTGTACTTCTAATCTAATTGATACTATCCAAACTATTATTCATGATGCATCCAAGGAAGTCAAAGTAAACGCAAAAAGTAGAAAACTTAAACCTTGGATTACGGCAGGATTGCTGACATCAATAAGGAAACGGGATATGCTCTTTAATACAGTAAAAAAGAATCCATACAACAGGCAATTAAAAAATAGATATAACCAATATCGCAACATGCTGCATTCACTAATTAAACGCACCAAATTCAATTATTACAAGAATAAAATCGAGGAAGCAGCCGGAGATGCTAGGAAATTTTGGACAACTATCAAAGAGGTGTCAGGTAGACCACACATTCCCGCACCGTTCCCGGTGGAGGCCTTCTGTGACGGAAGCACTGCTACTCCTGACATAAAAAATATCAGCCAACAATTCAATGACTATTTTGCTAATGTAGGCTACATCCTAGCTAGCGCTATTAATCCAGTGGGGCCACCCGAGGTGGAGGATCATCACCATGCCTTTCATTCTGTATTTGAGCTGAAGCCGATCAATCAAGATCAACTAATAAATATAATTAATAGTATAAAAGGATGCTCTGCTCCAGGATGGGATAACATCCCTGCAAAACTTGTTAAGACCTTCTCAAATTATCTTGTTCAACCCCTTTTACATTTGATAAACCTTAGTATCCGTTCAGGAGAGTTTCCTGACCTATTCAAAATTGCAAAAGTCATCCCTATCTACAAATCTGGTGCCAAAGCTGAAATGAGTAATTTTAGACCAATATCTTTACTAACCACCATAGATAAAATTCTAGAAAAATGTGTAAAGATCCAATTAACTAATTATCTTGAAACAAATAAAATTTTATCTGAATCACAATATGGATTTAGGAAAGGGAAAAATACTTCCGATGTTTTATTTGACTTAACCAAATTAGTAAATGAGAAAATCAATGGAAAAAATAAAATCATTTTAACTTTCCTAGACTTAGCAAAGGCATTTGATTCTGTAAATAGATCAAAATTATTACAAAAACTTGAATTAATAGGGGCAAAAAATAACACACTAAACTGGTTTTCTTCCTATTTCAAAAATCGTAAACAATATGTTTGTATTAAGGGAATAAATTGTGACCCAACGATTGTTGACTATGGCGTGGTTCAAGGAAGTACACTTGGACCTCTGCTATTTCTGGTATACATTAACAACATATCCAAATTAAATATAAATGGAAGCATATTTCTGTTTGCTGACGACACGGCTTTGGTATCATACGGAAGCACCTGGGATGAGGTTTACAATAAGGCATCCTCTGACCTCATCAAAATAAAAAACTGGTTTGATCACAATCTACTTTCTGTTAACGTACAAAAAACTAAAAGTTTGCCAATTATCCTTAGAGATAATTATGGTCCAGGACAGAGGATCCTAAAAATGCACTCTTGTGGCGATCCGGAGTCCGTCAACTGTGGATGCGAAATCATTGAAAAGGTTTTAACTTATAAATATCTAGGTGTAGTCATAGATCAAAAATTATCATGGGTGCCACACATACAGTACTTAAAACAAAAATTAAGAAAAATGATTTATGCTTTTGGGCAGTTGAGCCACGTGCTTACTCCGGATCACTGCAGGAGTGTGTACATCGCCTATGTGCAATCTATAATGCAATACGGGGTTCTGGCGTGGGGTGGTGCCTCCTCCGCCGTACTGGAGCCACTGGGGGTGACACAGCGCTCTATAATAAAAACCATTCTAAAAAAAGGACAAAGATATTCTACTGATCTGCTATTCCACGATTTTCCTGTACTCAATATTAGACAATTATTTATTAAAACCCTTCTAATCTACATTAAAGACAACAAACACAAAATTTTCACACAGCCAACTCACACATATATAACAAGAAACCGATTAAACTTTGGATACACAATACCCAGATTAGGTTACAGAATAGAGCTTTCTAATCCATTTTATATTGCACATCAATTATACCGAAATCTTCCAAATAATATCATTCAGGCAGAGAGTAGCAGTGCAGCCGTTTTCGCGAGAATAGTTGGAGAGTGGCTGTTACACGTCGGCCCCACGGCTGCTGAAAATTTAATTCATTCACCATACGTTTGAATAAAAAAAAAATAATAAAAAATCTATTAAATCTCCAACTTATCAGCCAAGTTGGGCTATATCAGGCATGGGCTATGTCAAAATTTTTAAACCGGATTGATTTTTGTTTTTAAATTGTAAGAATTATTTTATTTTATTTTGAGGGGTATCTTTAATTTTTTAATTTTTAATTTGCTTTAACTTAACAAGTGTTTAGAACTTATATTCTGATGGTTATATGTTGGCCAGGACTAAGATATTTTATTTTATTTTTAATTTTAATGAATAAGTTATATTATTGTTAACTAGAAAAGTTGTTTTATGTAAGTGTATATATTTTTTAAGAGTGACCAGCGAGTGCCATGGACTCTTCCTCACACACAGACGTGTAGTCTTGTGAGGAATATTTTTTCCTTTATATAAAATATGTCACTTTTTATTTATTGTACTTTATTGGAAATAAAGAATCTTGAATCTTGAATTACAAAAAATGTTTTTGGTAAAAATGATAATTTTTTTAAATTATTACATGTGACACAATCATTGTAAAGCTGTGTTTACAAGGATTGCGAATTTTCAATCAGAACGGACAAATTTTTTGCGGTTTTGAAATTAAAGGCTATTAATTAAGACAATGTGCGAACAATTCGCAAAAATGGCCGCCATTTTGAAACAAATTATCAAACAAATAATTAAGTTCTGTTTGTAAATAACTTTAAATAAATATTACTTCAAAATTCTGTTTTAGAACAGAGATAGTACCTGTTGTCTGTAGATAGAGTGAAGCCGGGTCGACAACTACAGCGGAATGAACCCCATGTGTTGAGGCAGTTGTGGTCACAAAGACCCGGCTGATCCGAACACTCGTCTATGTCTGCCAACAAACAAAAGCGGATTCTATAATATTCTTCAACATCTTATTTTGTATTAAAATTCTCCATAATGACATTTTGTCATACAGTATAGTGGAACTACAAGGGACTGGTAGCTATTATAAAGACAGATAGTGAGGAAAATATGGAAGCTTTGATAGAGGTCCTTGATGAAGGGTCTTGTAGATTTATAAAATTAATATTTTTTCTTTTTAATTTTGTTCAAACCTGCAGTACAGTCTCTATAGTTCAGCCTTATTCCCTTCACATGCTAGATTGTACAGTCGGCATAAAAAGGAAGTCATTAATCTGTAAATTGAGTTTCCCATGGCAAGAATCTACTTGTGCTTGTGTTGTTTGGTAAACAAATACAATACAAAATATCTTTTTGTAGTTGCAGTAGTCAACTACTGCTGCCTAAACTAAGAGTATAGGCATCATGCACATTATGTTATTATTTTTTAATTTATTTAGTTCCATCCTGTTAACATAAATTGTATGAACGTGAGGATACAGTATAATTTATAAAAATATTAAGATAGTTAAGTTTTTAATGAGTGTGTTAATCTAGAACAAAAATACACCTGCAGTGATTTTTCTACGTCCATCATATGTATTGAGTAACCTTTATGTTGACATAATATTAACTTCTAGAAAGTAAATGGCAATACTGTACAACCATTTTGGTTAGTCTATTTAATTAATATACACAGGTGTAATATGTGAGCTAAATTTATTTAAGATGTTAGAGAATGGTAATGTAGAATTAGAGCTGGCCTTAGGCAGGTGTAAAGGTGCAGTCGCACACACAGGGCCCCACTCTAGGTGCAAAAAACAGGAAAAGGCTATAAAAGGTCTGTGAATTTATGGTAATTAAATTATGTGAAATATAGAAAAGAAAAAGGGGGGAATATTAACACTAATAGTCTAATATTATACACTGGGATTTTTGTTAGTTAGTATTGTTGGGATACTACTTTTTTTGGGAGTAAGGGGCCCGCTCTGAATGTTTTTACTGGGCCCCACACTCAATGCCAGCTCTGTGTAGAATACTACTGGTGGATTATCCATAATTTGTTTAGCTCGGCAAAGGTTGTGTCCTGAGCTGACCAGGCTGAGAATTGTTTTCTATGTAGAAATTTCAGAAAAAAATTACTGATTTATTTTCAAATGGTCCTACAGCTATGATACAGCATCATTCAAATCTGAAATATAATTTAAAAACCCCCGTAGCTTGACTGTAGATCTTGAAGCACAAACATATTTTACAACTAAAAACTAGCAATCTAGTTGAATCTCACCTACACATCGGTTGGTTTGAGGATTTAGTCGAAAGCCAGGCTCACACGTAGCTTTATTGCTGCAGATATACCCCCCAGCAATGTTCACACATACTTGATTCGGTTTGCAAATGTCTCCTCGTTCACATTCGTTTATGTCTGAAAAAAACACATACATAAACTGTTTCACTGTTTGTGATTTGCAGGAAATAGGAGAATTGGTTATTTATAATAACATAACTTCTTGACCAGCATTGTACGTGTTATTAAATTTACGAAAAGTAAATAAAAGAAACGTCTTATAACACTTAAAACATATATTTACGCTTATACTGTTACTCACAAGACGGTAAATATACAAAAAAGATGGTAAGTGGTGATTCGCCTATTGGGTCTGATGATGATTGGAGTGTCCAATCGAAATCGATCACAACTTACCATCTTTTTTTATATTTAGCGTCTTGTGAGTAACAGTATAAGCGTAAATATATGTTTTATGTGTTATAAGACGTTTCTTCTATTTACTTTCCATAAATTTATAATAAGTCTCCAAAAACATTAGGAGTGTGACCAACTGTTTGAACTGAATGGATAAAGGATCAACTTATTGGATTTACTTGAAGTATGACCAGCTGTGGAGGGATCCACGATCCACCAGCGGTGGGTGGGGTGTGGTCTCACTGTGTGAGATGGCAACAGCTGTTCGGATTGGAGGAGGATAGAAGTACATTTAACTGTTACACCAAGAGAATCCAAAAGAACAACTACTTAGAATTCTTAGAGTATGTAGCTCTTACTTAAATTAAGAGCTAAAGTAGCTGTACATATTTAAGATAAGTAGCTTTCTTAACTTCAATATGTACAGTATAGTGTTACGAATCTAGTGTAAGAAAACTCCCATGAAGATGCCGCACTGAGGAACGAAATGTGTGTAGCGTAGAGTACATAGTTCAACCTACAACCTACAAGACCTTCAGGCAAAATAGGTAAATAAATTATTTGTATAACTCTTTTAAACCAACTGCTGCCTGAAATTTAAAAGCAATATTGTTAAAAATATGCAAGTTTCATTTAGTAATAAATGCTCCTGCTTATCCTCTTGTCAAATCGTTTTACAAGATTATTAATTCCTATTACAAGTTTACATTAGAACCAAGTGGGATGGAAAAAAATATTTCAGGAAACAGAAAAAATTAAATTTATTTAGTGCATATAAAAATTAATGTTTTATATTGAACTAAAATAGTAGTTATAGTGCTTTTATGATATGAAATGTAGTTTAGAATTGAGTGACAAGAGTAAAAGCACACTGAAACCCTTCTCTTACCACTGCAGATTTAGTTACTTTGTACAGTAATCTCAACAATTAATCGCTGTTGGATTTATTTTATACTGCTGGCGTCTAGAGGCGTGACTTCCAGGGAGCAAGCTGGTCTAGTGGTAGAGCGCAGGGCTTTGGTGCCCGAGGTCCCGGGTACAAATCCAGCCAATCACCAATGGGTTTTATCTATATGATAATGCCGCAAGCCTCTAGGACTAGCCTGAAGTAATGTATAAAACAGTTCTGGGCTAGAACTAGTGTCCTAGGATGTGAATGTGGGACAAAAAAATAAAAAAAGAGGTGTGACTTATAGTGTTGTTTAGAGTCTTTCCCTCATACCTCCCACACACCATTCAAATTGACACAATCTTTAACATCTTTATACTTTGGCATTCTCAAAGGATTGACAACGACCTAGCCACTGTAGATGTCACTTCACAACAATGGCGAAACATCTGGTAGTAAATTTCATCTGACGACTCAGTTAACAAAATAAATCAAGGTATTCAAACACAGTTCAGGCCTTCTTTGTATAACTATACAGGGTGTTCATTTGAAAACTTTCCATATCTGTTGTGTGCAAAGGTAAGGCTTTTAACACTTGTTTGTTCTCATTTCCCTCTAATTTGGACATGCCAAATCCAATAAAATTATTTTCAATTTTGAAAAATGCCCCAAAAGGGCCCAATTTGGGGGGTAGGGGTGCTTTTTGAGAAATTTTCAAATGTAAACATGGGTTGTGTGATACATCAATTTAAAGGTCTAATCACCCCGATCATTTTGGTGCAAAAAAAGTTTAATTATCTTTAACCGTATTTACAGGGTGGGTCAAAACGTTTTAAAAAAGGACTTTGAAGTTAAGTACCGTATTACCCTAACTACTGAACGGAACAGCGCCAAATTTCTTTCCAAGCTTATTCTTGAGCTACTCTTTAAGATAACTTGTAGTAAGGGCATTTTCCAAGTTATTTTCTAATTTTTAAAAAATCTCAAATTTTAAGAATAAAAGAAAGCTGAAAACTCAAAATTCTTAAATAGCAAGGTATAACAAATTTCATACCACGTGAAAGGTCCTTTTTTAACAAACATTTTACGTATTTAAGTTTTCTTTCTATCTCTTACCGTTTAAAAATTGCAGTAGAAAAACATAATTTTCTGTGGTAAAATTGTAACTAGTTTTCTAATAAAACAGCCAAAATTCGTCTCTAGACACATTAAATGGTGCAATAACTGAAGGAAACAATTCATAATTATTTTTAGGCAGATAGGCAAACAAGTCATTACGTTTTACTTTGTGAGAAACAAGTTTTATAGCTGATGAGAAAAACCCAAGCGTGGGCCGCTTTCTGTAGTACCATTGACTAGTCAATGGTAGTACTAATTTCAAAAGTACCATTTCCTGTAGTACCTAATCAAATATGGTGTAAACTTAAAAAAATATACTTTATTTTACTTATTGGTCATAACAAAAGTGTTCCAGGATAACTGCAAAGTGTTTAACAATAGATATCCAGGTATAACCTTGAGTCATATGGCTGTAAATGATTTAGTTAGGAAGTTTTCTGAAACTGGCTCAGTTACCAATGAGAAAAGAACAGGATGAAGGGTCCAAGATGAATTCTGACACACGTAAAAGTAGTCGATCAATTTGTTATGAATCCTACTACATCGTTGAACAAAGTGCAATGTGTTTTATTAGAAAACTAGTTATAATTTTACCATGGAAAATTATGTTTTTCCACTGCAATTTTTAAACGGTAAGAGATAGAAAGAAAACTTAAATACGTAAAATGTTTGTTAAAAAAGGACCTTTCACGTGGTATGAAATTTGTTATACCTTGCTATTTAAGAATTTTGAGTTTTCAGCTTTCTTTTATTCTTAAAATTTGAGATTTTTTTAAAATTAGAAAATAACTTGGAAAATGCCCTTACTACAAGTTATCTTAAAGAGTAGCTCAAGAATAAGCTTGGAAAGAAATTTGGCGCTGTTCCGTTCAGTAGTTAGGGTAATACGGTACTTAACTTCAAAGTCCTTTTTTAAAACGTTTTGACCCACCCTGTAAATATGGTTAAAGATAATTAAACTTTTTTTGCACCAAAATGATCGGAGTGATTAGACCTTTAAATTGATGTATCACACAACCCATGTTTACATTTGAAAATTTCTCAAAAAGCACCCCTACCCCCCAAATTGGGCCCTTTTGGGGCATTTTTAAAAATTGAAAATAATTTTATTGGATTTGGCATGTCCAAATTAGGGGGAAATGAGAACAAACAAGTGTTAAAAGCCTTACCTTTGCACACAACAGATATGGAAAGTTTTCAAATGAACACCCTGTATGTTGTAAACAAGGCTTACCTACCAACACATGTCCTGTCAGGTCCACTATGATAACCTCGTGGACATCTAACACTCGGGGTAGTGTAGCTGTCATACGGCTTGTCTGTCGTTGTTGAACCATAACTTGTGATCTTGTCACAACGGAAGAAGCCAAGGGTATTCCTACATTTGTAGCCAGGACCTAAATGATCACACATGCGGAGAGCACACTCGTCATTATCTGTAACAACACGTATTTGGATTAGTTTTTTTAGAGTGATAAAATATAAATTAATGAAGAATTCTAATGGATGAGTGTAATTCCAAATAGCTTTAGTAATATCCAGCTCAAAGGACCATTAATTTAATGTAGCTCATACAAACTACATTTAAAACTAAAAAGTATAAATATGTTGTAATTCCAAGTGATCTTGATTATCTGTATAATTCACTATTTACCGGCAACATTACTTTCATTTGGCAAAATCTTGTTTAATATTTTGAATCCATATACTCAAAATAGAGTGTCTGTTTATTATGACGACTCTTCACAACCCCAGTGATGAAGAGGATACTTTCTAACCAGTGTGTTGTTGAGACCAGTGGTCGCCTAAAGAGAAACCAGGTGACCATTGTTTATTCCTCAGCATTATGGGGGGCGTTTTGGAGATTATTCCATGAACAGTGAACTGAAATATTCATTGCACTTTTGATTACTTCATTTGCATTGTGTTGATGGGTTTAAAAAAAAGACAACCACAAAGACGGGATTTCACAATACATTATACAAAAAAAAATATAAAACATATGCAGGGCTTAGGCTTACCCTTTGGCAACCAGCTCATGCCTTTAATTGTTCTGCACAACTTTGGACTGTTCATGTTACATAAATTTATGTGAGATATCAATTGAAACTGACCTTCACACAAGCCTGTTTGAGCGTTTAGTGTGTATCCCGTCCCACAGTTAGTGTATCGAACACATTGGAATGATCCGATAGTGTTGTCACATCGCTGGGTTGGCAAACAGTTGTGTAGATCTACTTGGCATTCGTTGATATCTGAATCAGAAAAATCTATGTTAAACAATTTATATTGGACACTGCTAGAACACTTCTTATCCTATTGTAAAATATGAAACCTTTTGAAGTCTGCTTTAAATTTTGTCAAGCTTAGTTGACTAAATGTTCCTCTCCAATATTATGGTAAATTTGAATTTGGATTTTTGTGTAATAACACCAGAACAGACACATTTTATAAACAAATAATTGTTTGTTCATTGTAATGATTTTGAAGTTGTTAGAATAACAAACAATTAAAATTAATAAATAGTTAACATTAAAACACACTAACATAAAAAGAAGAACCAAAGCTTCTAAAATCACTAACAATAACTCTATAAACTTGGTCTTCAGGGTCCAGCCTTGTCACAGACATGAACTTATCACTAAAGGCTGACATTACATATTGACATCAGCTAACCAGCTGTTTGAGTGGCCTATTCAACTATGTTCTATTTGAAATTTGAATAAAAAGGTCCACCCATATGGATGTGATTTTTGCTGCATTATCCAAAACTAAAAGTATGATTACAAACAAAGACTTACCAACACAGGCTTGAGTGATGGAGTCCAACTGAAAGCCAGACTTGCATTGACACTGGTAACTTCCAACAGTGTTCTCACACAGCTGATTGCTGTCACAGGCACTATCTTGCTCAACACATTCATCTATATCTGTCCAACAAAATAAACAACTTTTATTTACTTGACTTATGAGTTTGTTGACAATTTACTCCTAATAGGGATGAAAGGATGGTGTGGAAATAAATGGGAAAGAGTTCACTGAAAAATCAAAAATTGTTCTATATAATGTGAAATTTATAGATCTTAGTATACAAAATAAAATATTTTTATCTGAATGTTTGTTATGCATTAAAAAACCATCCATTTGACCGCTATGAAATCTTTGAAAATTGTTCTGTACATGATTCAGAAGGTTCATGTATTTTTCCCGACCTTAACTCTTAAAATCATATAGGATTCTCCCCCTAGGGGATGGCCTTTTTCCTCATAACCCTGACACAAGATACTAGTGTGCACCTTCTGAACAAAAATACTGGGGAATCCCTTGAGGGATTCTATTGTGCTGCTGGTAAAGCTATGGTTCCACAGGATGCGGAATCTCCGCCATGCGGTGCGTAATTTTTTGCAGCGGAAAAATACGCAGCGAAAAATCAGAGGGGTGGTTCTACAGACTACGAAAATAACGTTGCGGAGATTCAGTTCTGTCCAAACTAGCGACGGAGTATGGATAGAAAGAGGAAAGCCCTTTTGGCTTTGATGCTATATGATGACATTGATGATGATGTTGTCGATCTTTTTCTTTGTTAGTGTCAAGTCGCAGTGACCGAAGTGAATCGGGACAGTGAAGGGGCGTATAACATTCTGGTTCGTAATCATTTAGTTGACAACGAAACTAAGTACTTCCGTGTGTCAAAAGACCAATTTTTCTTTTTGGTTGATCTCATCAAAGATGACTTACCCACCAACGCTACTAATCGAGACAAACAACCATTGAATTCCGAGATGAAACTAGCGGTACCACTAAGGTATGTACCAATATTTAATATTTTTGCTATTTATTTAACGAAACTTAAGGGGTTTCAACCACGATCAGATCCCGTTCAACACTTGATACCCAAACATCTCAGGATAATTGTTCGTCAGGTCTACCATTTTCGACAGTTTATGTTAAATGTATTATAATAATTTATTTAAGCAGTTAGTTTGTTGAAAGTCGGTGTTTCGATTATAGGTATTACTTTATAATTGGCTCAAATGTTGTGTATAGGTAAACGGGACCTAAACAAACCATTACTTGTATCATTGGATGTATTCTGGTGTGATTGTGTGCATTCGCTAATTTCTCAGAAACCCACTGACATGCGATTTCCACATCATGTTGAGACACCAACTCGACAAGTTCTTCCTCTTCGGTCGATGAAAAACGTTCATCTATAACTCTTTTTACAGCACAAGACATATTGAAACTGCACGGTTACTATATTTGATGGCTCTTCTCCGCTGGCGGAATCCGCACTGCTACTGCTTTTAGACCAGTATGATTTCTCCGCCATGCGGAACGGAAATTTCGGGATGCGGAATCGCAAGTCAGTGGAACCGCACACATGGGAACTCCATTAAACCAGTGTCGTTTTAATTCCGTAGCGGAAAAAATTGCACCGCACGGCGGAGATTCCGCATCCTGTGGAACCAGGCCTTAAATGCTTGGCAAGTTAGGTAGGTGCCAACCTAGCTCTGCTATGGTAGCCTTACCTATACAGTTGCGTTAGTTCTCGCTGTAGTGGTAACCTGGCTCTGCTAAAGGTAACCTTACCTATACAGTTGCGGTAGTTCTCGCTGTAGTGGTAACCTGGCTCTGCTATGGTAGCCCTACCTATAAAGGTGCAGTAGTTCTCGCTATAGTGGTAACCTGGCTCTTTTATGGTAACCTTACCTATACAGTTGCGGTAGTTCTCGCTGTAGTGGTAACCTGGCTCTGCTATGGTAGCCTTACCTATACAGTTACGGTAGTTCTCGCTATAGTGGTAACCTGGCTCTGCTATGGTAGCCTTACCTATACAGTTACGGTAGTTCTCGCTGTAGTGGTAACCTGGCTCTGCTATGGTAGCCTTACCTATACAGTTGCAGTAGTTCTCGCTGTAGTGGTAACCTGGCTCTGCTATGGTAGCCTTACCTATAAAGTTGCGTTAGTTCTCGCTGTAGTGGTAACCTGGCTCTGCTATGGTAGCCTTACCTATACAGTTACGGTAGTTCTCGCTATAGTGGTAACCTGGCTCTGCTAAGGTAGCCTTACCTATACAGTTGCAGTAGTTCTCGCTGTAGTGGTAACCTGGCTCTGCTAAGGTAGCCTTACCTATACAGTTACGGTAGTTCTCGCTGTAGTGGTAACCTGGCTCTGCTATGGTAGCCTTACCTATACAGTTGCAGTAGTTCTCGCTGTAGTGATAACCTGGCTCTGCTATGGTAGCCTTACCTATACAGTTACGGTAGTTCTCGCTATAGTGGTAACCTGGCTCTGCTATGGTAGCCTTACCTATACAGTTACGGTAGTTCTCGCTGTAGTGGTAACCTGGCTCTGCTATGGTAGCCTTACCTATACAGTTGCAGTAGTTCTCGCTGTAGTGGTAACCTGGCTCTGCTATGGTAGCCTTACCTATACAGTTACGGTAGTTCTCGCTATAGTGGTAACCTGGCTCTGCTAAGGTAGCCTTACCTATACAGTTACGGTAGTTCTCGCTGTAGTGGTAACCTGGCTCTGCTAAAGGTAGCCTTACCTATACAGTTACGGTAGTTCTCGCTATAGTGGTAACCTGGCTCTGCTAAAGGTAGCCTTACCTATACAGTTACGGTAGTTCTCGCTGTAGTGGTAACCTGGCTCTGCTAAGGTAGCCTTACCTATACAGTTACGGTAGTTCACGCTATAGTGGTAACCTGGCTCTGCTATGGTAGCCTTACCTATACAGTTGCAGTAGTTCTCGCTGTAGTGTTAACCTGGCTCTGCTATGGTAGCCTTACCTATACAGTTACGGTAGTTCTCGCTGTAGTGGTAACCTGGCTCTGCTAAAGGTAGCCTTACCTATACAGTTACGATAGTTCTCGCTATAGTGGTAACCTGGCTCTGCTAAGGTAGCCTTACCTATACAGTTGCAGTAGTTCTCGCTGTAGTGGTAACCTGGCTCTGCTATGGTAGCCTTACCTATACAGTTACGGTAGTTCTCGCTATAGTGGTAACCTGGCTCTGCTATGGTAGCCTTACCTATACAGTTGCAGTAGTTCTCGCTGTAGTGGTAACCTGGCTCTGCTATGGTAGCCTTACCTATACAGTTGCAGTAGTTCTCGCTGCAGTGGTAACCTGGCTCTGCTAAGGTAGCCTTACCTATACAGTTACAGTAGTTCTCGCTGTAGTGGTAACCTGGCTCTGCTATGGTAGCCTTACCTATACAGTTACGGTAGTTCTCGCTGCAGTGGTAACCTGGCTCTGCTATGGTAGCCTTACTTATACAGTTGCAGTAGTTCTCGCTGTAGTGGTAACCTGGCTCTGCTATGGTAGCCTTACCTATACAGTTACGGTAGTTCTCGCTATAGTGGTAACCTGGCTCTGCTAAAGGTAGCCTTACCTATACAGTTACGGTAGTTCTCGCTGTAGTGGTAACCTGGCTCTGCTAAGGTAGCCTTACCTATACAGTTACAGTAGTTCTCGCTGTAGTGGTAACCTGGCTCTGCTATGGTAGCCTTACCTATACAGTTGCAGTAGTTCTCGCTGTAGTGGTAACCTGGCTCTGCTATGGTAGCCTTACCTATACAGTTACGGTAGTTCTCGCTATAGTGGTAACCTGGCTCTGCTAAGGTAGCCTTACCTATACAGTTACGGTAGTTCTCGCTGTAGTGGTAACCTGGCTCTGCTAAAGGTAGCCTTACCTATACAGTTACGGTAGTTCTCGCTATAGTGGTAACCTGGCTCTGCTAAAGGTAGCCTTACCTATACAGTTACGGTAGTTCTCGCTGTAGTGGTAACCTGGCTCTGCTAAGGTAGCCTTACCTATACAGTTACGGTAGTTCACGCTATAGTGGTAACCTGGCTCTGCTATGGTAGCCTTACCTATACAGTTGCAGTAGTTCTCGCTGTAGTGTTAACCTGGCTCTGCTATGGTAGCCTTACCTATACAGTTACGGTAGTTCTCGCTGTAGTGGTAACCTGGCTCTGCTAAAGGTAGCCTTACCTATACAGTTACGATAGTTCTCGCTATAGTGGTAACCTGGCTCTGCTAAGGTAGCCTTACCTATACAGTTGCAGTAGTTCTCGCTGTAGTGGTAACCTGGCTCTGCTATGGTAGCCTTACCTATACAGTTACGGTAGTTCTCGCTATAGTGGTAACCTGGCTCTGCTATGGTAGCCTTACCTATACAGTTGCAGTAGTTCTCGCTGTAGTGGTAACCTGGCTCTGCTATGGTAGCCTTACCTATACAGTTGCAGTAGTTCTCGCTGCAGTGGTAACCTGGCTCTGCTAAGGTAGCCTTACCTATACAGTTACAGTAGTTCTCGCTGTAGTGGTAACCTGGCTCTGCTATGGTAGCCTTACCTATACAGTTACGGTAGTTCTCGCTGCAGTGGTAACCTGGCTCTGCTATGGTAGCCTTACTTATACAGTTGCAGTAGTTCTCGCTGTAGTGGTAACCTGGCTCTGCTATGGTAGCCTTACCTATACAGTTACGGTAGTTCTCGCTATAGTGGTAACCTGGCTCTGCTAAGGTAGCCTTACCTATACAGTTACGGTAGTTCTCGCTGTAGTGGTAACCTGGCTCTGCTAAGGTAGCCTTACCTATACAGTTACGGTAGTTCTCGCTGTAGTGGTAACCTGGCTCTGCTATGGTAGCCTTACCTATACAGTTGCAGTAGTTCTCGCTGTAGTGTTAACCTGGCTCTGCTATGGTAGCCCTACCTATACAGTTGCGGTAGTTCTCGCTGTAGTGGTAACCCGGTTGGCAAGCTGGTGGAGTGAAGGTGCTGGTCTGTTTCTGACTGCAGCGGTATCCTCCAGGCATGTTGACGCACGTTTCACCAGAGTTGCACACATGCAAATCTGCATCACACTCGTCCACATCTGTAAACATTGTGATTATTGTGTAGGTAGATTTAATAGTTTTGGCCTTGTTTCATTTCCTAAACATTAGAGAATGGACTTTTGAAAGTGCTAAAGAAGGTTGTTGTCGTAAATTATAAGATTTAAATTATTTATAAAATCAAGATACAATAATATAAGATGAACAGAACCCGAGGTTTTTGAATGTGAGAGACTAGTTGGTCAACTAGATCGATCGCCAGGTGTAGCTAGGATCTGGGTATGCTTAGACGACTGCCCTCTGTTTTCATCTTTGGCCTATTATTTATTCAGTTTGTTTATTTAACTTGGTTGAATTAATGCTATTTTACTGTTGCTTCAGTGTTTAGTAGTTTACGTAGAATACATGTCCACAATTTAACAACAAGGCACTAAATAAATTCTTTAATACAAATTGTATTAAATTTATACTAATGAATGATGATTTAAAAAAGGATGTGAAATGAATACATACCACAATTTAGAAAAATCAATCATATCAAGCTTTAAAATGTTAGTTTGTTCTTTTACACCTTGTTCAGTAGAGGTGAGGATATAGAAAATTCATTTTTTGTACCAGGAAATACACATAGTAACTTGTTGAGATTAGGAAAGGTTTGTTTGATGGGAAAGGCAGGATAAGAAGGATTTTAAAACACTATTTTTTGATTATCCACAACTCTGGGGCTAAACCATGCAATTTAAACACCTTAACACCGTTTGTCATAGTTTTATAACTACATGTTTAAATGATTAGAAGTTATGACCCTTGGAAAATCTATACATTTCCCACTCTATTTGTAAATTCTAATATGATTTTATAAATTTAACATATTTTACCTTGGCACAGTTGCGTGGCAGAGTTAAAAATGTATCCGAAGGGGCATCTATCATCTCCTTTACTAGAAATACTATTATTCGATTCCCTTGCATCTGTGAACCTGTTATAATCTGTAAAACATAAGTCAACTTTAAAATTTTTGTCGAAAACATGGACTTCAAACTCAAACTCTGTCAGACTGCACCCAAACCAACTTAATTAAGGTTTAATTATTTTGACATCAATGATGTGGGATTGCCCCTGAAGTGATTGGACACTAATAGAGTGGTTTAAAATACCTTCAGTCACCAGTTTGAATTAAGTCGGCTGTTGCGACCTAGTTTTCGGCACGAAGTTGTACCATCATCAGGCGGGCCAGTTTTGAAATCTTCTGTCCAATGAATCGTTTGGTTAAAATTACTAACAGTCCACGACGTGGGACACAAACACGCACACGAACAAATATATTTAATGGAAATGCATATATGTGTTCGGCCTACAACAGTTTTGAATTTGACATCTTTAGAAAGCCTACTACAACCTCCCAGACGGAGACGATACACTCATACCATCCCCAAAGCCATAAAACAGCTGCTTATAATAGCATGGTTCATCGCCTCCTAACAGTGCCATTATCACCTACAAACAACCATAAAGAATTAAGCACTATAAAATATATTGCGACCTCCAATGGGTCATATAGATGGTAAGTAAGATGTAAGATAAAAGAGTAAGATGTAAGATGTATGTAAGATAAGTAAGTAGTAAGTGAAAGTAAGATGGTTAATATGCTGATTAAAAAATATATAAACTCGAACCAACAGACCCTTAAGTACATTTCGATCGAATATGGCCACAGACTACACAAACTATTAAATAAGGAATTAAAAACATACAATTTACTACCCGCTCCTAGAATCTCAAATAAATTGGAACACCTTCTAACTGTGGAAAAACCTTCCAATGAAAGTGAGAAACTGGAAAAAACTGGGGTATACAAGTTAAAATGTGGTGATTGTGAACGATATTATATCAATCGGCCAAACAGGTCAGCCCTTTGCAACTCGATTGAAGGAACACACACCAAACCCTCGTTTAACCCAACAAAAATCTACATTCGCCCAACATATAATTGAGAATGACCATAGAATGGGAAAAAGTAAGGTAACAGAGACAATAAAAGTGTTAACCAGGTAATATTTAAGTTGTCAGTTTGGTCCTAAGGTCGAGGTTGAGAATGATAAATATATAAAAGCTAGACCAAGCCGTGAAGGTTAAAATTAAATTGTGATTTTTTTTATGGTAATAGTAGCAGTTGATTTAAGACAGTAACAAAACTAGCCTCTCATTAATTCTACACCAAGCTTCAACTTCATCAAACCTATAAACATGACATAGTGTTGTCACTCAAGCCATAATAATCTTGAATTTTTAACAGTAGTAATATTACTAATGTTTTGTGGTAAATTTGTAATTAAAAAGGCACTTCGAAATTTGTGAGTGGACTGTATAAAAAATTAATTAAATTGTAAAATATTTATGGAAAATTGGAGCACTTGGTGTCTTAGCAATTGAGATACGATGAATTATTTTAAGACATTATTTGAAATGGTTTTATGATAGATTCACTAACCATTAGTTGTGGAGAAGGGAAGCCTAGATGACGACAACATGGCCGATACCCACACCATGAACTGGATGAGCTGTTGGGGAAGACGATGGAGGTTCAATGTCCAGACAGGTGATGGGAAGAGAAGAGAATGTCCAATTTAAACACTTTTCTTGATGTCGAAACGACGGGTTAGTTTATATGAGCTCAAGAAAATGTTATTGTAAATAATGTTCACACGCGTTCACGGAAGCCGCACATGAAGTTCACGTTGAATGGGAGCTATCACTTTTCAGGGAATTAATACACAGTTAAAAATACAGTTTAAACAAAATACAATTATGTGTAACACGAAATAGGAAATATGGGGGCCTAAGTAGGCTACAAAATACACTGTTAATGGGGAACTGTCCTGAGTTAAAAAAAATTAAATACTTGATGAACCGGACGGAGTGTTACATCAAGGAGCTTTTCAGAAAGACTGACGCTTGTGGGTTTCGGGAATGGACGCGTCCAGTGGTCACATGACCGTCTCGACCAATAAATGTATGGCTATATTTTAGTTCACCAATGAGGGAATACTTTGACCCCTCTAAGCAAGTAATGTTATAGAATAACGGGACCTCTCTCTATCTCTGTGGAAGGGATAACGATAGAAAATCGAGATAAAGCAGTGCTGAGTTACCTGACAAATAATATTACATAGAATACTTATACGAAATACTGAACAACTAATATTCAATTCAACATTTAATATATCCAGGCTGTCCATAAATGAAGTCCTTCATCAAAATCCCCTCGTCAAGTAAATCTACTATTTTAGCTGGTACCTCAAGTTGAACTTCCTGGGCACCCTTGGACTAAAGACACATTTCTGTTCACAACTCAAACTTTCTTTATTTGAAAATGTTGTATCAGTGAAACTGAAATATCCTAACAATTGTATATAGTTAATATGGTGTTTCTATGACAGGGTAGGCTCTTTCTCATGCAGGTAAGCCTGCTATCCCAAGCACAACCCTGAAAACCTAAATTGTTATTTCGCCACTAAAAATAAAGCTTGAACGAAACCTAATGGTTACCTGGAAACGGTGTAACATTCACAGTGGAAGGTTGGTGTGGCTGTGTTGACAAACCAGATGTGTTGGTGGTAGAGGTAGGCAGCTGTTTACAAGAGAATGTTCCAAGTTCATTCTGACATTCCTGGTCTTGTGAACAGTCATGCTGGTCTAGAGCACACTCATCAATGTCTGTAAACACTTATTATGTTGTAACTTGTAGATTTTAAGAAAAAGAACCAGATTTGTATGCAGTTTTATCACACAAAATATTTTTTTAAATTATTTATGGTGTTGGCTCTTAAATATTTCAATTATTAATTGGACTTTTCTAACGTTTCTTATGTTTAAAACTATGCAACGTTTCTGGAGGTGGATCAACTCCTCTCATTATCAAGTGAAATTGACTAGATCTACATTAACGCCCCTCAAAAGGTGACCATTCAAAACTGCTTACTGGAAACAACTATTTACAACACATACTGGTTGCAACTGGTTACAACAACTTAATATTGATTACTCTCAGTTTAGGTTAAATATGAAATCTTACCAATACAAGACTTATTGTCCGTGTCAAGTTGGAACCCACTGTGGCAGGAACACTCTATGGCAATGCCAGTGTCCGTGCAGTGTTGCTGGCATGGGTTGTTTACCTCACATCTAAATCAAACACATATTTTTTTAGATTTTTTTGTTATAGGTAAACAAAAGCAGAATTGACCTTTTCGGAAACAAAACCCTCTCAACAAGAGATCTGAAGTGGTTGATATTAATTTTACCCTCTAGGCTGCATTAGGTGACAGTAGTGCTATCGCAGCTTCTTGTAAATTTTAAACTACACTACCCTTGGTTATAAAGATTTTCTGAACCCTAAACTTAAGGGATTATTGATGAAAGCTTTTGCAAGAAATGACTTGTCAGCTTTGCTGTCTGAAATCCAGATTTCAATGTCAATGATGTTAAATGTCAATTTATGAGTATTTTGTAAAGTGAAAGTAAATTCAAGTAACAGATAAAGTCATATGTGATGTTTACTCATCATTTCAATTTATGTGTATGAAAAGTTAAATGATATAATGTGTATGTCTATGACGGATAGCTTATTCTGTAACCCCAGATTACTGTTAACAGTCGGACAATATTAGGGAGAACTGACCTGTTAACAGCCTTGGCCTGTTGGCAAGACTTCCTGTCGCCCATCAGAGTAAACCCTGGTTCACAGTCGCAACGGTAAGATCCTGCTCCTGTAGGGATGCAGATGTGGGCACACAACTCTCCCTTCAGCAACTCACATATGTTCTCTGGGTAAATAATAACACGTAAGTATGCAAGATACTGACACATAATTTCTATATTTAAGTTCAAGCCAACATAATCTACAAAAATAATCATCCTATAGCAATATCAACTATTCTATCAATACTACTAGTGTAATTCTGGAATTAGAATATGTATACTGCATATTTCTCCCACTGTTTGTGAAAAAATGTCACTGTTGTACTGACAGTGCTCACTTTTTGTTTCTGTATATAGTTCTGTGTTTTTCAAATGATTTTTAACTATTTATTTTCTTGTTGTCTTTGTTATATTTAGTGAAGATTCCATGTTATACTATCTAGAATCTATGGCCCTTTTTGGCACCTTTTTTGTTAACAAGGTCTAATGTAACATCTGTTATTTAATGACCAATAAAGATTTATGATTTATGATTTATTTAGTCCTCAGTCTAATCCTGCAGAACGCCCGAACGGTGTAATTAAAACTATAATATCACAGTTCGTGAACTTTGACCATCGAAATTGGGACATCCAATTAAACGAGTTCCGATATGCCATTAACAGCACCATCCACGAATCTACTCAATATTGACCCGCCATTTTACATTTTTGTAGAGAATTGTGTACTCCAAACAGTATACATTCTGCCCCTATCGAAACCTCTCCCCGTCCAGAAGACACACCTACGGACGAAAAGTACAGGTCACAAATACAACGCCATTGCCTCCTACAAGAAAAGGTGTGCAGGAACTTGAAGACAGCCTTCGAGAGACAGTCGAAATATTACCATCTGGGAAGACGAGCTAATGAGTTCAAAATAGGGGATCTAGTTTTGAGGAAGACTCACCGGCTTTCAAGTGCAGCAGACTATATAGCCGGAAAACTAGAACCAAAATTTGATGGACCATATATACTCAGCGAGCCACAAGGATCAAATATGTTTCAAATATCGGATCAAAGAGGCAAGAAAGTTGGGGTAGCACACATTAAGGATTTAAAACCCTATAAACCAGCACAAAGCGTTCATTTAGAAAGGGGGTTTAGGCAACAAGTAGGAAATCACAGCCCCAGGTGGTTCTTTCTCCCACTCATTGCTTTGCATGGTTTTAGTGCATGAGTCTGCTCTCTTTACAGGCTAGCATGGCATCGCAGCAAACGATTACTCGAGTGACCCACGAGGACCTGCTGTGCCTCCAGGAGGGGAGGATGCTGACTGGGACAGTCCTAGAGGCATATCTTCAGACATTGGCAGAAAAGGACGGTCTTTGGGAAGGACCTGATCTTAGCACCACTGCACCTAAGAGATAGTCAACACTGGGCGCTAGTCGCTGCCTATCCCAAGAAAAGAAGAGTCGAGTCATATGACTCGATGGGTTGGTCCCACAAGAAGCAGATATATCTGATGTACTATGCGCTCTGATGGGAGGCGAAGATTTCTGGTTACGATTTTAGACCAGAAGCATGGCATTTACAAGGCACCATGCTAAACCAACCCCGCCAGTCGAACGGCGTAGACTGTAGTGTGTTTGTGCTCCACTTCGCCAAAACCCTGACTCAAAGCGGAGAAGTCTCACAGAGTAGAGTTAGTCCGAAGTACTTCAGAGATGCCATACGCAAGGCTTTGGAAAGTCGGATGGAGGAAAACGTGGCTCTCTCTCCTCTCGGCAGTGACGAGGGAATCATTGATGTTGCGGTCCCTGCCGTCCCTGAGGCAATGGAACAGGACGAGACGACAGAAGACATGGCCCCGGAAGTGGAGCTATTAGATTTCGAGCTGATCTCCCTAGAAGATGTGGCATCTACCAGCCTAATGCCGGCCGACAACCTTCTGCACCTCATCGAGGACGCTACTAGGGACCTATCTACAACAGCGGAGACTGTGGAACCACCGTCACCATGCATCTCAATAGCCGCCAGCATGGACATTGCCAGCCTCCGGGTGGAGAACCCTAGTATTCCCCAACAAATTGAGAAAACGAATGGAAAGGGTACACCAGAGGAACCCAATGTGACTGAGCCAGCTGCAGCATTCGAAAAAGGGTTGTTCTACGAATGTAGTTCGACGACAGAAGAGGGGCCAGGGGCGGAGGAGCCCGTCCAACGATTCCCTAGCTCAAAGGGAAATGAAGCTAGTAGCGCGAGACGGCCAAAATTCAATGCGTCCACCCAAACATTTTGATGGCATCAGCACGTCCAATCGCTGGACACCACATTCCCCATAAGACTACACCTACCCAGAAGAAGCAGGCACCACAGGGGAAGAGGCGGCGCAGGAGGAACCCGCCGAATCGTCTTTCCTGGGGGAATTGTCAAACGAGTCCCAAGCCGATTCTTTAACCCATGGAACGGGTTTTAATTAAATAAGTGATCCGATCTAGTCCTAGTCCTGGTGAACAGGACAGCCTTTGAAATTTAAGTACATTTTGTTTTAGAATATTGTTTTATTTTATTTCAGTTAATTGTTAAGAAGACAGAGTATTTCTTTAGAAGATTCTATTTTCGTTCTGTTAATAAGTGGAAGGAAACAAATGTTTTATGTTATTTCTCCTAGAGGAAGATACTACAAAAAAAATTGTATTATGAAGTTCCTAAAGCAAGTTCCTATATAGGACTAGTTTAGTTTTTCTACTTTATTGGGAAACAAAACACAAAAATATATATGGAAGATTATGTTGTTTTATTTTATGAAGAATATATATTTTTTTCTTTTTACAGGTTTTCTTTTTTTTCTGTCCCGAAGTAAGAGGGGAATGTAACGGGCTAAAATAATGGTTACAAATTTTTTGGATTAAATATCAACAATAGATGAAATATAGACAAGCAAGACAAGTATATTCAGGTTCCTACGATTTGAATTTCCCGCTTCCGAGACATGCGCGCGCACCTCGCGCATGCTCCAGTTTCCCGCGCTTTCGCTTGCCTGTCGCGCATGCACATGACGGTCTCGCTACTCAGAGAGTCCGAGACGACTCTAGGACACTTCACTTCCAGACTCGATGAGACCCGACTAGTCGATCTTCAACTTCAAATAAGGTAGAAGAACGTCTCCAATTCTATTTCTAATACTTGCATTGACATTAATTTCATCCGTATTATTGCTTTATTTAACTTAAACGTTGATTGCTTTGCTTTATCTTTTGTAAATAATTTGGAAATTATAATCCCGTTGCACTTTGCTTGGTTTGAGCTTGAATCACACATTTATAGCATTATTGCATTTAGTCACTAGTTGACGTACAAATTATCATTGCTTTGTAAATTGCTTGATCTATAATTAGCAGATTATTTACAACGCTAATTTGTATATTTGCCTTGCCCATATTGATTATACAATACGTACTTTATCTACCTTGCTAATATTAATAAGCAGATTATCGTACCATTATTGATTCCCTTGGTTAAATCGTTGAATCTTATGTTGTACTGAACCATTAATCCTTGGCTTTTACACCTAAGTTCCTTGGATTAAAACCTTTACTTCCTTGTTATATAATATTACCGCAAACCGTTCTACCATTATTCCTTGGCTTTTACACCTTAATTCCTTGGGTTAATACCTTTACTTCCTTGTTATATAATATTACCGCAAACCGTTCTACCATTAATCCTTGGCTTTTACACCTCAATTCCTTGGACTCCTTATGCCAGCACTTTACCGATCTTATTCTTCTTAGATATAGTGCCCCCGAAGTTATCATTAAAAGATAATGGGACACAATACACGTCTAAGAGCTTTCATCGGGTCACCAAGGATTGGAACATCCGCCATCAATTCACCGCACCTTATAGTCCTCAGTCTAATCCTGCAGAACACCCAAACCGTGTAATTAAAACTATGATATCACAGTTTGTAAACTCCGACAATCGAAATTGGGACATCCATTTAAACGAGTTCCGATATGCCATTAACAGCACCATCCACATTCTACTCAATATTCACTCGCCAAGCTTAATTTTGGTAGAGAATTGTGTACTCTAAACAGTATACATGCTGCCCCTGTCGAAACCTCTCCCCGTCCAGAATATAAAACTACGGACGAAAAGTACAGGTCACAAATACAACGCCTTTGCCTCCTACAAGGAAAGGTGTGCAGGAACTTGAAGACAGCCTTCGAGAGACAGTCGAAATATTACCATCTGGGAAGACGAGCTAATGAGTTCAAAATAGGGGATCTAGTTTTGAGGAAGACTCACCGGCTTTCAAGTGCAGCAGACAATATAGCCGGAAAACTAGAACCAAAATTTGACAGACCATATATACTCACCGAGCCACAAGGATTGAATATGTTCCAAATACTGTATCAGATCAAAGAGGCAAGAAAGTTGGGGTAGCACACATTAAGGATTTAAAACCCTATAAACCGGCGCAAAGCGTTCATTTAAAAAGGGGGGTTTAGGTAACAAGTAGGAAATCACAGCCCCAGGTGGTTCTTTCCCCCACTCATTGCTTTGCATGGTTTTAGTGCATGAGTCTGCTCTCTTTACAGGCTAGCATGGCATCGCAGCAAACGATTACTCGAGTGACCCACGAGGACCTGCTGTGCCTCCAGGAGGGGAGAATGCTGACTGGGACAGTCCTAGAGGCATATCTTCAGACATTGGCAGAAAAGGACGGTCTTGCCCTAAACATCAGTGTCTTGAGTCCTGATTTCTTTGAACACCTTGAAGAAAACCTGCAGACGAAGGCGTACAGAGAGTTCAGGGACGCGGATATCTTTGGGAAGGACCTGATCTTAGCACCACTGCACCTAAAAGATAGTCAACACTGGGCGCTAGTCGCTGCCTATCCCAAGAAAAGAAGAGTCGAGTCATATGACTCGATGGGTTGGTCCCACAAGAAGCAGATATACCTGATGTACTATGCGCTCCGATGGGAGGCGAAGATTACTGGTTACGATTTTAGACCAGAAGCATGGCATTTACAAGACACCATGCTAAACCAACCCCGCCAGTCGAACGGCGTAGACTGTGGTGTGTTTGTCCTCCACTTCGCCAAAGCCCTGACTCAAAGCGGAAAAGTCTAACAGAGTAGAGTTAATCTGAAGTACTTCAGAGATGCCATACTCAAGGCTTTGGAAAGTCGGGTTGAGGAAAACGTCTCTCTCTCTTCTCTCGGCAGTGATGAGGGAATAATTGAAGTTGGGGTCCACCCCGTCCCTGAGGCAATGGAACAGGACAAGACGACAGAAGACGTGGCCCCGGAAGTGGAGCTACTAGATTTCGAGCTGATCTCCCTAGAAGATGTGGCATCTACCAGCCTAATGCCGGTCGACGACCTGCTGCACCTCATCGAGGACGCTACTAGGGACCTATCTACTACAGCGGAGACTGTGGAACCTCCGTCACCATGCATCTCAATAGCCGCCAGCATGGACCTTGCCAGCCTCAGGGTGGAGAGCACTATTATTCCCCAACAAATAGAGGAAACAAATGGAAAGGGTGTACCCTTTCCATTTGTGAACCCACCATGGGTTCCTCTGGTGTACCAGAGGAACCCAAGGTGACTGAGCCAGCTGCAGCATTCGAAACAGGGGTGTTCTACGAATTAAATTTTTTAAACCCATGAAACGGGTTTTAATTAAATAAGTGATCCGATCTAGTCCTAGTCCCGGTGAAAAAGACAGCCTTTGAAATTTAAGTAGATTTTGTTTTAGAATATTGTTTAATTTTATTTGAGTTAATTGTTAAAAAGACTGAGTATTTCTTTAGAAGATTCTATTTTCGTTCTGTTAATTAGTGGAAGGAAACAAATGTTTTACGTTATTTCTCCTAGAGGAAGATACTACTTAAAAATATTTGCATTATGAAGTTCCTAAAGCTAGTTCCTAGATAGGACTAGTTTAGTTTTTCTACTTTATTGGGAAACACTAAAAAAAAAAAAAAAAGACAAAAATATATATGGAAGATTGTATTGTTGTGTAGAATATACATTTTTTTCTTTTTACATGTTTTCTTTTTTTTCTGCCCCAAAGTCCTGGGGGATGAAATGGGCTAAAATAATGGTAAAATTTTTTGGGATTAAATAAATATCAACAATAGACCCAAACATTTCGATGGCATCAGCACATCCAATCGCCAGACACCACCTTCCCCATAAGAAATATAGACAAAAAAAAACAAGTATATTCAGGTTCCTACTTTTTTTTTATTTCCCGCTTCCTTGACATGCGCGCGCACCTCGCGCATACTCCAGTTTCCCACGCTTTCACTTGCCTGTCGCTCATGCACACGACGGTCTCGCTACTCAGAGAGTCCGAGACGACTCTAGGACACTTCACTTGAAACCATTATTCCTTGGCTTTTTCACCTAAGTTCCTTGGATTAATACCTTTACTTCCTTGATATATAATATTACCGCAAATCAGGCAATAAAGTAATTTTTATAGAAATAAAATTGAGGAATATATCAATATGCCACCATGCATATTCCTTTTCCTACAAATGTTGGAAACTGAAATTTCCACAGCATATTGTTAAATCCTATTTATAAAATTTGTTAAAGCTTCAAAGCTTTCGGTGAATAAATAGGATAGTAAAATAAAATAAACGTCTAAATCTCTCTTTGGTATTCCTAGTATATAACAAATTTACCGTTTGAATGTTGTTTTCTTGGAGGTTTAGTCGGAGGTGCAGTTGCAGTTGGTGGGGGTAGTGGTTGTGCTTGTGAGCCAATAGTAGTACAGCACGACTGATACGTCTCATCCCATATCTCTCCAAGAGAGAACTCTCGGAACTCACATCCCATTGCCATGGATCCCGATATCATTCCCAGCTTACAGGCTTCACAGCAATACTGTAAACATTACAGACATATACTTGATTCAGTTTTATTATTTTCTATTCTCAACAAGCCATCAACATGAGGTCCTCTTTAGGGTTTAAGAGGCGATTTGTATAAAACAGAATTTTGGTGAGAGAACATAGAGGGTGGTCATAAATTATTGGGCATTTTAAGCTTATATAAACAAATAACCAAGCAACATAGAAACAAGGGAATTGTTTAATTGAATAGCAAATTTAAAACAGTTTTATACAGTAACTGCAAAACAATAATTTTAAAAAATGTCAGCAATTATAAAAAGTGGTTATAAAATGTTTGCAAAAATCACTCAAACAGTGAGTGTAAGTTATGTTTTTTTTTCTCTCAATGACTTGTGTTGTGGCATAGTCAGCATGGATAGCATGGCATAGTTAGCATGGCAAAACCAACAATGGGCCTTTCTACACCAGCTGTGTATGCCATTTGGTGAATCAAACCTTAAACTTACTTAAGTAGCAAAATTACTAGTGTGCAATAAAAAGCCAAGTCTTTGGTTTCATAAAAGCAAATCTGTTATAACTATTCGAAGAAGGCTTCGTTTAGAGGATGACCATAATTCTCCATGTAACAATTCTATAAAATGGTGGTAGAGACAGTTCGAACAACTGGGAAGTGTCCAACATATAGTCCAAAGGGTCCTCCTCAGAAGAACATAACTTACAATAACAGTTTAGGTGATTTTTATAACTACTTTTCATAATTGCTGAATTTTTATAATTAATTTTTTGCTGTTACTGTATAAAACTGTTTTAAATTTGCTATTTATTGAAACAATTTTTATGTTTCTATCTTGCTTATAGAAATTTATAAATTTATTAGTTATTTATTTATTTTATCTTAAAATGTGTACAATAATTTATGACCACCCTGTATTTTCTCTATGATAAGTTGCATGATTTGTGAATTTTAAACAAGAAAGTAGGGAGGAACGGAGTGGATTCAGTAACGGGTGAGTTCTCATGCAGTGAACTTAACACTTCTCCATGCATCTTCCAATTGCTTAAGTAGCCTAGACTACCAAATCTAAATGGTCTATTCATGCATTTTTTATAGAATTAAATAGGAGTTTTAAATCTACTATATTACAGTCATTCTCCAGTATACGATGTAACTTTGTATTATTAGGGTCGAACACACAATCCCCTTAAGTTAAAATGGATACTGCAAATGAAGCAGAAAGTGAAAAGAGCATCAATAATAATATAATCAATATTCAAAGGTTCACTATCACTGGAACTTCAAGAAGACAATGCAAAAAAATTGCGCTAAATATATAATGCAAACTTTACAAAACGTTGAAGGGTTTGTCAGAAAGTCTATAAATACATAATAAAGAATAACTACACTTAAATACATTTTTACAAAAGCACGAGTGACCAAAAATTGACTGTAATCACTGCACAGTCGATTTGTTTTTGACATGATCACACTGACAGATTAAAAGCTATTTTAACTTCTAGTATTAATCTTAATTGTGATCAGGAGACAAAAAACAACATAAATAAAGTCATAATACCTTACTGTCCTCATATTTGAAGGTGTGACAGCTATTTCCCCTTGTTGCTGCTTGTTTTCCTTCTTTACACTGGATATCTCTTTAAAAAAATTATAGTTATTAAATTGTTGGCACATGTCACATATATAAAATTGGAACAAGAAATTATTACAGTACTAAATTATCATTTCCAACATTTTACTAGTTACCATTAAGAATAAAACTTAAAAATGTATGGACATTTATTCATTTAATTTATAGTAAATTTCTAGAATTATATTTTAAGTACCTGAGTGTTTGAGCACAACAAAGCTGCATGGTAGAGAGACAGATACTTTGTTGCTCTGCAGGAATCCCCTGTACTGGGGTACCTGAGGTTGTCTCGTCACATTTCTGGCTCTGAGCCGCTACTGTAGTGCCCAGCTGACAACAGTGTTGGAAGGTCGGCTCTAAATCAGCTGGAACATCAACAATGTAATCAACCTTTATAATATTTAAAGGGATTAAGGATTGTTGCTGTCGGTTTGACCAGTTGTGGAATTAAACAACAAATGTTTCATTGTTTCATGCTTGAAAAATGGAGCACGTGGAAAATGCAGAGTGTTCTTCCAAAGAAGTACATTGTAGGCTACCATTTTGAGTAGGCCTATGACTCTTCTAATAAAGGAAATGTAAAGGTAATTCCAACTATTGAATGTGTGATGTGTCATAACTTCACAGTGGGAAAATCTAAGCTTGTTTTTCCGCCAACACAGCCAGCTAGGATTTGTGCCAAAAAAGAAGTTAAAACTTGAAGATTTACTAAAGATAAAAGATAACATTTCAGAGATTCAGCTAGATATCAACAAAAATGTTTTCCAGTGGCTTACAACACAACTACAACGGATGATGATGATAGTGACTGGAGAAACTGTTGATAGGCCTGATGAAAATAATCAAGATGATGTTTTAAGTGTTTCAGATTGAAAGAGACTATTAACAAGCTCTATTTTAAGAGTATTTGTTTGATTACTATGCAATTTGAAGTTTAGAAGAACCTTCTCAACTTTCATCAGACATAAGACTCAGTGCCCAAGGATTATTGTTAAGGGTCAATTTTTGGACCTACAATGTAGTAAGGCAACTTAGGTTAATTGAAAGCTTAGATATATTGATGACAGTCTACTATGCATGTATACAAAGTCATTCAACATATAGAATTGTTGACTGATGATGTGACAGTAATATTAAAAAGTTGTTGGTACTGTAAAAAAGAGTTTATTAGCTAGCTAGAGAGAGCTATCTGAGTCAAACATATGACGGATGATTAAAATGATCCTTGTTTTTACTATCGATGTATTTAGTCTAACTACACCGCGCCCAGGCACTAGAATACAACGCTGAAAATGGTGGCCACCGGGCTGCTTGTGAACAACAGAGCGGCCCCACAGCATTGAAGTAGCATTGTAATTGCCGACATATCACACTTTTTAAAGTACGCTTTATTGACAAAACGTTCTACTGTAAATCAATTTTCTTCTTAGTGTTTGATATTGTATATGTATTTCGTTCTCTTTAGTGCATTTTCTAAGCTATTATTTGGACTATGTAAGCAGTTACAATGCTACTTCGATGCTGTGGGGTCGCTCCGTTGCCCACACAGCGGTGCGGCGGTGGACTTTTTTTTGCTTACCAGCTGAGCGTGATCCAGTTAGACTATATACATACATCAATGGTTTTTACTACATCACTATCAGATCAGAACCAAAAGAAATATTAGTAGGAAACTACACTTGACCATAGCAAACTCTTGTAATTCATAAAAGTTTCATTTTACCTAAAAAGGTTCTTTAGGCCCATATCCTTATAGCCCATCCCTCTAAAAATAGATTGACAATACCAGTATGTTAAACTGTTGCACATTAAAAAAAGTTGGGCTTGGTATAGCACTCAAAATATAAAATATCGTCTGCTAAAACCCTCAGTGTGCTGTTATAAATAGCAGATAAGGAATTTGATCTCTAATGAATACTCATTGCTTACGAGGTTGATCAATTAACTCATTAGCTGAGGCACAGATTGATGAGTCATAACATGGTAAAAGCAAGGTTCACTGAATTTCTCAGTTTATTTATTTGACCACCTAATTTTACTTCAAAGCAAATACGACTTCCTATTTCATACAAAGTCTATTATTATTGTTTGCTTTAAAATTACTAATTTTACCTCTGAACTTAAAAGTAGTGGTTATTTCTAGTTATATTTTCACCGTGGATTATTCACTAACAATTGAATATTTTGATTTTATTAAGTAAAGTATGTAGGATTACTTACCATGGCAGAACAGTGGTGATATAAATGTGAATGCTACGATGTAGACGGTCAGTAGGCCCGGAGCCATGTCTAGTAGTATCTGACCAATGTCCACTCTCAGATAACTCCCCTATCTCTTACTATGGTTATTGATTGTGTTCATGGGAAATTAAGTTAAGATTGCTTACTTCTGTCTTAAATACTATGTTTTGTCACTGTTTATTATCTGTGTTTAATGTAGAACATATTTTGTGCACTCAATGAAGATGTTTATTCAATTTATTTTATATTTGTTAAGTGATTCTTTTTGATAAGATATGTAAGTAATTTTATTATAAATTTAAGAGAATTTCTACCTACTTATCATGTTTTCCAAATGTATGTGCTTGAGTAGTAAATTAGTCTTAAATTACAGTTAGCCATGTTTGAAAAGAAGAGGTTGTTGACATAATGCTATATAGTTGTGATTCCAACTTCATTATTACAATGATTATTTCGATTAATTTAAATTTAGATAAAAAAACCTGTCATCATAGTAGACATTTTCGTTTTCAATAATATAAATTTTAAAACCGGTGGTGTAGTCGTAAATTACCCAATGCGGAAGCGCTCACCTGTTAACTATGTCTATTCCTTGTAAAAAGGTCAATGCCAATAAAGCTGCTGATTCTTGATTCACCATTGAGGAAAAATAATGTCGCCAATCAATGAATAGGTTCTTTGGGAAAAAAAAACCGAGTGGGAGCGTGTTCCCGTTCCACTATACCATTGTTTAAAACTATAACATAATAATGATGGACCCATTAAATATTATTCTATTCATTATATTTTGTGTATGTTCACAACCGTATCAAATTTGCTCATAAATAATTTTTTGTACATTTGATGCTATCAGTATACAAATTTCAATCTAAACATCTTTTGAATTGTGTTTTTGTTACAAATTGTATTATTGTTTAGTACAGTCCCCTTAGTATAATATACACATATTATCCAATATTTTCTGCTGGACCGGTTAAAACAAAAATATTACATTTGCTTGATAAATGTATTTAATTTTCAAATTAATATGACACTTTTTATGGATTGATTTCAACCATAAAGAAAAGCTTTTGTAGAGAACCATCAAAAGTTATTAACATGTAATGAAAAAATAATACCAACATTTTAAATCACAGTAACAAATATTTATTAAAAAATAACATTAATATTTAAGTAAAATAAATAGTTACTACATTTATTTTAAAATCAAGACTTTGGCTTAGGATGTCGTTAGAATGTAGGATGACATCTTAATTGTTGATTTTGTTGGCAATCCAGTCGGTGGTGTGGGTTACTTTGTGGTATATTCCTGGTTGATGGTCCACGGCACAACCAAATCCTGCGCTTGTGATGCCTGCCAATGTCCACCTCTGTCTTGTCTTGTGATACACTACCAGAGGCCCCCCAGAGTCTCCCTGCAACATCAAACTTTCACAATCACACTTGACTACAATATGGTGGTGTCCACGGCACAACCAAATCCTGCGCTTGTGATGCCTGCCAATGTCCACCTCTGTCTTGTCTTGTGATACACTACCAGAGGCCCCCCAGAGTCTCCCTGCAACATCAAATTTTCACAATCACACTTGACTACAATATGGTGGTGTCCACGGCACAACCAAATCCTGCGCTTGTGATGCCTGCCAATGTCCACCTCTGTCTTGTCTTGTGATACACTACCAGAGGCCCCCCAGAGTCTCCCTGCAACATCAAATTTTCACAATCACACTTGACTACAATATGGTGGTGTCCACGGCACAACCAAATCCTGCGCTTGTGATGCCTGCCAATGTCCACCTCTGTCTTGTCTTGTGATACACTACCAGAGGCCCCCCAGAGTCTCCCTGCAACATCAAACTTCCACAATCACACTTGACTACAATATGGTGGTGTCCAAGGTGAAACTGTGTCATAGTAATGCTGAATTGAGCTGACGTTTGGCCTTGTTGCAGATTGCTATTTTCAGAGCAGTAACGAAGCACTATCAGTATTACCTTTAAAATGATACAGTCTTACCCCAAAGCCCACAACATTTTATAACTACCATCACTTGTAATGCCTGCCAGTTTCCATCTCTGTTTAGTCTAGTCTTGTTGTGATGTTTAGCCACCAGTGGTTCATAAGAATTTTCCTAGACACGATTTCTTGAATAACTGTCACAACAGCTACATCTGCCCTGTTATTGGGAGAGCAAAAAAATTGTAGAAAATTGTAGAAAATTTCAAAAATTGTAGAAACTTGTGTTAAGAAACAATTGTTAGATTTTTTTGATCAGTATGAAATACTTTCAGGTAGCCAATTTGGTTTTCGTCCAGGTTATTCTACAGTGACAGGCTCTAGATAGTGCTGTGACCAAAATTTTAAAAAAGCTTTGAAGCCCATGAATTTGTAGGAGTGACCCTGTTGGATCTCAGCAAGGCGTTTGACCGAATTTCTCATAGCGTTCTTTTAAATAAGCTTCAATATTATGGAATAAATAATGAACAGTTAAATTTTTTCAAAACATACCTTTGTGGTAGGTTACATATGGTGTCTCTAGGGAACTGCTCATCTTTTTTTAAAGAGGTTCTTGCTGGGGTCCCACAGGGTTCAGTCCTGGGCCCTTTGTTATTTATATTGTATATTAATGACCTCCCTGTTAATTTAGATTGTGATACCATACTATATGCGGACGACACATCTGTGCTAGTCAATGGGAATTGTCTGAATGATGTTAACGACCATATTAATAGAGCAACTGTTGCTGCCAATCTGTGGTTTGATTCTAACTATTTAAAGATAAATGAAAGTAAAACTGAAACAATAATATTTACTTTGAGACAAATTGAACAATAAAACATGGCTAAGTCTGTAAAGCTTCTTGGTATTACTCTTGACCAGAAACTAATATGGGAGGAACATACCAACAACTTAGCTAATCGATTATCTAGGGTTTGTTTTTTATTGAGAAAACTTAAGACTTGTGTAAGTCAGGAGCTAATGAAAACTACGTATTTCAGTTTCTTCCATTCACATTTGTTATTTGCTAATATGTTGTGGGGGGGGGGGGGGTAGTGCTGGAGCAGATAGAGTTTTTTTGTGGTAAAAGAGAGCAATAAGAATCATGTTTGGTTTAGAGTTTAGGGATAGCGGTAGGAGTCATTTCTCTGCACATAATATTATGACTGTACCATGCATTTTTTATTTTTCAGAATTTAATTTATGTCAAGGAAAATATTACAGACTTTTATTGTTTTAGTGACATTCATAATTATCAAACAAGAAATTCAAACAAATTAGTTTTACCAATCCCAAGACTAGAAAAGTATGCAAAGAGTCACAAATATCAACAAATAAATTTTTTTAACAAAATTCCAGAATCATTTAAGTTGTTAGATTTAAAATAATTTAAAAATAAGATTCATGATTGGCTTATTAGTCACGAATTTTTTTCTATAAAGGAATTTTTAGAATGTGATATAAGTGCAGTGTAAACTAAGTGTTGGGTCCTTTATTTACTATGAGTATTCGAATTTCTTGTTGTTGTTGTTGTTGTAAACGTTTTATTGCCTTGTTTATTTATTTTGTTGTTACTATTTTTAATCTATATTGATTTGATTTTATTGTTATTATTATTATCTTGGTACTGTCTTTCAATGAATAACTGATGAAGCCTATTGTAATCATGTATTACTTAATGGTGAATAAACTTCTTGATTCTTGATTCTTGAGCTTAGTAGAAAATCACAGTTATTCATGAACCACCAAAGGTAGAAATCGCAATAGGATTAGAGCAGGCGCTTCAAGAGGCTATGCTAAACAAAATATGTCACTAGGCTGTCACTTACAGTGAAACTCAGAGAAGTCATTAAAAGCATATACACACACATTACATACCATCACCATCTACTACCCAACCTAGTCATATTGTAAAACAACATTTAACGGCCATTCTACTTGAGTTAAGAATTTAAAAAAATTATAACAATCACTTAACAAAACAACAGGTGTTTAAATAAATCTAAAAATTATTTTTACTTATCAAGATGGAAAATTTCCGCAGAAATACTTTAAATAACAGGTAATTACCCATTAATATTTAAAATGTTTAGTTTTTGATTTGTACTCTACATCAATCTGGTGGTGTCTTGTCAGTCCCTGATATCATTCTTGCTGCCATTTACTTGTTTCAACATAGCAAAATAGGTTCATTGTTCTAAAGTCTGGTTTTAGTTTTAACGTTTGTGTTCTTGTCTGTCTGTTTACATGTTAAATTGTACTGTCTGTGAATTGATCATGATGAAGCGATTATGACATCCTTCAAGATGGTGCTTGAAGATGACTTCACGATAAGACAAACTACTTGTGGCACAGAGGCTAAACATTATTTGTATTTAAAATAAATCGGAGAGTGAGGATGATAGGCCTAAGTCTAAAGTATCATGAGCATAAGTGATGTTTTCTCAAAATATTCCCTCATTACTTTCTCTCTACTTCAGTGGTCTAGAAACTAGTCTAGTGGAAGTATAATACTACATACCAAACAGGCATCCATATGGCCATCGCTGTGGCCAGCACAGAACATTTCTTCATGAAGCTCAACCTTGATCCTCTTATGCTTGTGCCATATGACACATTTTTCATCTGAGAGAATTGGAACAAAGGCCTTTTGTAAAATATTGGTCCCTGTTTTACCTGTAAAAAAATATTTAGAGTTAGAGACATTTCAAGTTTTACTTTTATTTGTTTGTTTTAAAGACTAACCAGGGAATGATTTTTGGAGATCACAACAAGTTTCTTGAAGTTTTCAAGAGAAACCTATATATGTCAACATATTAACAAATCATAATATCCAGTTTAAATTAATTTGATTGCTACAAAAACTGCCCAGAACAAGTGCACAAGTTCAAACAATTTAGAACTCAAGAGTCTAGAGGGAAGTACTATTTGTGGAAGGTTGTTATTTTTTTAAATAGTCAAACAAATTTGGCAGAAAAAATGTGAAAGGCAAGAATCTGGTTACACAATTGCCTGGTCTAGTCAACTTAGACATTTTAGTATTTTAAGTTCAACTACCAGTCAATATCATCCAAATCTGAGGTGATACTTCTACCATAAACATGTTTCCTCTCTAATTTTTTTTTCTTTTGTTACCACTATTGTTAGAACAGAAAGAAAGAATGTTTAAAAGAGTTACAATTGAATAGGTTGTTAAAAAAATCTACACATTTGTTACTGTATTTATACTGTATTTGTTGGTTATCTTCAATCTATACCTTGAACCCTGTTTCCTTGACACAAAATCCTTTGCTATGTTTAAGCTATCGCCATTAAGTTTGAACATACCATAAGTGGTGTCGGTTTTACCCCATCCAGCGACCACGCCAGTTTCACCACTAAAAGTTTCTCCCCGTTGCGGCAGACAGATAGGAAGAATGTTGTCTCGGTAGACTGTAGGCCTTGCTAGTCTAAGAAGGGCAACGTCATATCTGTAATATTCACAATTTTCTTTACATACTTTTCAAGATTTCTATGTTTTTTATGATTAGTAATTTGTAAGACACAAATGAAAGCACAGTCCCTACACATACTAGTAGTTGGGTTTAGCTATAACCCTATTTTTACCTACCCTCTGTAATCCAAACATATAAAAGTCAAAGCCCTCAGTCACTCATTGACTGACTCACTCACTGATTCATCACTAGTTCTCCGACTTCCAGACCAGACTAGCTAGTAGGCTGACATTTGGTGTGCTTACTATTCAGGTCAAAAATAGGAAAGTTAAGCCATTTTTATGATGATTTTACTAAAGGAATTAACATAATTTAACATAATCATAATTCATAATCATAATCATAATCATAATTTTACATAATTTAATTTATTTTTATTTTAATGAGGTTACTAAGGAATTACTACGAGGATTAAGAGGAATACCCTATGTGTGCTATTCAGGTTACTGAAACAAATACCACACATTTGGTTCTATTTTAATCTTTTTTTATTGAATAGTTGTATGCAAATTCAATGACAACCTACCTGTCAGGCTGAGACAAACGATATTGGAACTTTGGATGAATGATTTTCTTGATCACCCGATATGCCTCCTCCGGGACTGGCTCAAAATACTGGCCAGTGTTCTGAGTGTCGAACTCTCCAAGGTACACCATTATGTCCTTCACTCTTGCCCTGTTGATAGCAAAAATATGTTCATTCAGATGGTTAGTCACTAAAATATTCTGTATTGTATTAGGTACAATATTTTTTTGTACATAGTTTTAATTTTTTATTTTACCTTGATAATCCTGGTAAAATGCTTTCAACTCATTGGTTTAAGTTTGAAAATGTTTGTTTAGCTAAAATATTTTTATAATAATTGGATCACTATTAACAATTGCTTTTAAAGAGCTATGTCTGATGGAAAGGATACGAATAAGAATATTTTATTTCCATTGATCTGTTTGTACAGAAATAAGACAAGTCAATTTGGTATGTTATACAAATGTAACATATAACAAATAAAAATAAAACAAGACATTAATGCATTAAAAAGAAATACAAACTTGTGTTTAAAAAAACTCCTCAAGTTTATAAAAGGGATTTTCTACCAGCCAGGTGTACAATACAGATTTAAACCTGTTTAAACTAACCTCTCTTGCATTCTCAGGCAGCTTATTAAAAAAGTAAATGCAATACTTAAAAAAAAAAAAAATAGTTTAAAAGAAGTTTTAGTTTTGGTAAGACTATGTGGTACTATATTCAAGTTCCCCCTCCCCCTGGTATAGTGATTATGAATATTTTGCCTAGTACAAAACATATTTAAGTTAGTTTTAGCATAAACCAGAACTTGAAAGATGTATAGATTGAATACTGTAGGAATTTTCAACTCTACAAAAAGTTGCTTACATTGTGCTACGTGATCGACTCCTGCCATATTACGAATAGTTTTTGTTTTTTTTAAGCTATAGGATGTCATTAATATGTGGTGAGTGACCCCATGCAAGCAATCCATATATTACATGTGCCTGAAAGAGGCCAAAGTATGTCAGTCTCAAATAATCAGGACTAACAAAACTGTTAAGTTTCTAAAGCAGTCACCCTTGAAATTTTCAGTTTAATTTTGAATCAGTATTTATTCCTAAAAGCTTGACCCATTCCATATTGACTTCTCTTTTTAAACTCAATGTTATATATTGTGTTTTTCAAATTACAAGATAGATTATTTGTCGAGATCCAATCATAAGCCCACTCAGCTTGTCGGGACATTTCTTGGAAAATTTGTATAATAATATAAGATTTGTATAATAAATGGATCACTATTAACATTTGCTTTTTAAAAGCTATGTCTGATGGAAAGGGTCTTAAATAAACTAGTTAAATTTAGTTTTAGTTTAGTTATTTGATCAGTTCAGTGGAAAGATTATAGGTACCTTTTCGCATACACTATTAACATGAAGTTTTATAAACTTATAAAATAGTTTTTTAGGCTGTAAAACTACATTTATTTTTGTTAGCATTTTAATAGACACTATTAACCCTTCCCAGACGGCCTGTAATATGTATAGACAACAAAATCATTTTATTTAAATAAAAACTACGAAATATCTTTTTTATATCTATAATTTTAATTTATAATATGTTGTAAATAGTTTACCTCTGCAGCACTTTTGTAAAAAAAAAATTTTTAACTTTTTTAATTTTTTTCAAAAATTTGAATTTTTTTTTCCTATTTTTTAGAAAAACATTCCTAGTACATAGGAGGTTAAATATGTAATTGAATAAAAGGACGTTTTTATGAACATTAATGATTTTATAGACAATAAACTATAACAATAACTGTCGTATATCTCCGCCTACCTTCTGCGGGGCCCAATAAGATATGCAGATACATCTGCTTATGGCTATGTTTTATGGCCTAACATCCGCCATGCACCAAATACTATATATCCGTCTATAGTCTTGGAAGGGTTAATAAGATTTCTAAGAGATAGCCAAGGATAGATCAGTTACATGATGACGTGTTCATTAGCCTGGTTAACAAAACTAGTACTATTAATCTATTTTATACTAGCTTTAGTTAAAATACACTATTTAATTTTCTGATGGTTTTGGACAGCTCATCAGAAACAATAATAGCTTCCTCTACAGATTGAGAAAAGTTTTTTTTCTCTCCTTTGATTTTCAGTATCAGATGTATAAAAGTTTAAAATTTGGATTAACTATGACCATGAATATACATTATGTATCGCATGAAAAAAATCATTTGATAAGTTTTCTGGCATAATCATGGATTTTTCTGGAAAACAAATATACTAAATATAGTTGATACATCACCTGTATATACAGTGAGCTGCGGTAGCCACATATCTAGAGTTAACCAGCACTCCACCACACTGGTAGCCTGAGATACGTATATGAGCTTGCCATGGAAACTCTCCGAAGTTTGCCTCTGCACCTCCGATAATTCTCTTTTGAATTCCCGCAACAGGCGTCCCACATTCTGGAAAAAACCTAACCTGTGAATGATTCAGTTTTTATAGATCCAAGTAAGCAACACTCAATTCCACAATGCTGTATTGACTTTAGATACAAGTATCAGGGATGTACTCAAAAAATTTAAATAAAATATTTTTTTTTTTAAGAAACTAACTAGAATTAAAGACATGAAATGTATGAATAATTGTTTCCCCAATAAGATTAAATGTCTGTACTCGAGGAATGGGGGAATCTGCATTCAATCTCATGTGTAATGACTTGGAAATAGTAAATCAAGCTCATAATTTTATTTTATTTTTATTTTGTGTAGACTAATGGCATTGGCATTTTTTACGTTTATTTAAAAGAGAACATATTCTCAATTCTGGTGTTGTTTATAAATTGTTGATGTTTTGTTACATAGAATCATTAATTGATAACCAAACAACTAATGGCATCTAGTTTCCAAAGAGCACATAGTATTCATGAATATTATGTGCTCAATGCTTAGGATTGAAACGGCAACCTTCTGATTTGAAGCCGACCATTGTAACCACTCAGCTACCCAGACAACGAAAATACGTTTTACGTCATTAACTTCAGATTTATTGATTTGATCAAATTAAACTCAAACAAGATTTAAAGGTCTCTACATTTTTTTACTTAAAACAAAAAAACTTTAAACAAATGGTACATGTATTAAAATAAAAATGCCATTTAAATTTTTACGGTTAATTTTCTTTTCAAATTATTATAAAACTTCACAGGATATAATTTTGTTTAAGTCTAAGTTTCAGTACGGTACATTTAGTTTATATTACATTTTAAATTAAATATAAATTACTGTATTTTAAAATTAATTTTAAATTTAAATTGTTTAATTCAAAAGAAAAGTTAAATGTACTATATTGGATTCCCCATTATTTTTTTTATACATCCTTTGCTCTGGAACATTGTTTCCTAACCTCTTTTCCTAATGTACCACTAATTCAAGTAGATATAATTATGTAGTATAGAATATTTTTATTATTTACAGTTTTGCCAGCTTAACTAACCCATTTCCCAATCATAGTATGAACCATTCCGTATTGAGCACCACACATAAGGGATTATTTAGCTCATAATACTTTGAGAGCTATGCATTTCAAGTGAATCGCTTTGTTTTAAGTTTCACTTACAATATTATCTTGTGGTGTGGAATATACAAATTTTACATTTTAGCTACAGTAGTTACCTGTGGGGTTATGCATACCTGGTGATACACCAGCCCAAAATCCTTGGGCAATATATATTATATAAGGACACCACCATCACCAATGCTTTAAATGCACTAGTGGTATATTTACCACAGTTTGGGAACCACTGTTCTGAAATATGTAAGGTTAATAAGAATCAGCCAATTTTTAAGTACATTTTCTTCTTTTGGTAATCATTAGGATACTGTGTGCTTACCTACTTGTGGAGGGGGGTGGTGATGAAGTCCCCACCGTCTAAGAGGCTGCTGTCGCAAGTGGTGGGGGGGATGTGGCGTAACACAGCAGGTGAAGAGCCAATCAGAGAGCAGATCCCCTCCGCAGCCCCCCGTCAACGTGCCCCCGACCAGCCAACATGCAAGGCTTAGAGTGCATGAATGTATAACCCCTCGGAACTCACATGTTGAGGGATAACCGAGTAGCCTTCCCTCTATAGTTAAAACATAATGCAATATAAGGAAATCTTACTATAAATAACTAATTTAGATAAATTATATGGTGAAATTTTACTAAGGAAATTATACTTTCCTTTTTTTACAGATTTAAATTTTTTGAGGATTTGTGAAACCTCCTTATACCATAGACTAACCAACACAAGTATCCTTCCCATCCCATTGTAAATTTTGAAGCTTGTTTTTCGTGTCTAGTTCATGACACTGGTGACTAGTGTTGAAGAAATTTTGTTTCTATTATTTTAGAGTTAATTTCATGGTTTGTGCTTTACTGTTGGTTATATAAATAGAGGATGTGGTTTTTTTTATGATTATACCGTTGTATTTGGTCAAACGGGGTTTTAAAATACTGAAATAACTAGAAACAAATTGTAAACAAAATATGAAATCTACAGTGTACCGGACAGAACTAACAATAAAATTGGCTTCAGCTGTTCCATAAGGATGGGAAATCTACTAAGGGAGTATGTGTTATCCATGCTTATACCTAATTACTAAAATGTAACAATTAAAGGTTTTAAGAATAAATCAAAATGTTTGTTTCATTTTTATAAAGACATATCTCTAAAATATTTTTTATACACTAAAGCAAGATCAACAGCTCAACTGATAGATAAAGTACCATTGTCAGAAGGGGTAGTCGTAGTCCTTGCCCATCCCAAGGAATCCTCCTGAACTTGATCAGCCTGATGAAAACCCAAGAAGAATGGACTTAAGATGCGAACCCAATGAACAACTTTATCCCCAATAAACCCAACAACAGTGCAAGGATGTTTCATTTCATTTATTTCAACGGTACACACCATTTATACAATAATAATAAATACATTTATGATACAGGCAATAATTCAGTCTTATGAGTAACAATAATAACAAGCAGAATAGAACTAGAATTTGAAAACAAAAAGGATATAACAAACAAGAAATCACAATGTGAAAGAAGAAAGGAGATTAAGAATAGAGAGGCAGTGTAAAACAGAGATGATAAAAAAGTGAAATAACAACCAACAATAAATACAAAACAACAACAATAATGAATAACAGTGAATAAAAATATGAAACAGCAATAAACAGCATAAACAGATAATAAGCAGCAAGAAATGTAAAGTAACAATAGCAGAAACAGGACACTTGTTTAATTTTGTATGTTTTGTGGCCCATTAGTGGCACCACCAAGGTAAATTAACTTTCACATACTCTGGCTCAGCACAGAGCCGACCCGACTTCTGAAGGAGGCAGTTGAACCAGAGAAGAAGTCGATGTGCATAGCAATTTGACTCCCTAGTCGATGCAATCTGGACAGGCCGCTGAGGTAGGCGAAAAGTGGCGGCTGGAAGGAGGTTCTGGAACGTGTCCCTCTAGGTACAGCAAGGTCAATATTCGACAATAGATCAGGGCAGTCGATAAGGGAGTTGATGAGATTGAATAGGAAGACTGCATCAAAGATCATACGTCTAATGTGTAGTGGTTGAATCTCTATAGCTGTGCCTCAAGCTCCCGGATTGGTGTATCCCAATATCTGAAGCCAAGCTTGGGTCCAAGCATCCTTATAAAGCGATCTTGTGTTCTTGAGAGCATTTGGATGTGGCCAACCTGATACGGAGACCATATTACAGATCCATATTCTAAGATGGGGCGAACCAGGGATTTGTATAGGATCACTTGTGTATATGACGACCTGAAGTTCCTTTTGGATCTGTACATAAAACCTGAGAGCGAACTAGCTCTGGCCGTTATATTAATCACTGTTTATAATTCTTCTCAACAGATTGAGCTGCCTGTCAACAGCGTGGTTCACACATGGATCTTGGAACCTATGTTGGCTTATTAATTACTGCTGAATCACCAATGCCCAGATGATCTGGATAGGCAGTGTCAATGTATAAGATCGTGGATTGTGGAAGGCTCCTGTCCAAGGTTCCCTCGGAAACGCATCCTCACTCAATAGGGGGTTTGTCAAGAGTCTCTGTCATACAAATCTCTTGAACTGAGCATTGTTCAATGCTTGATTTCAATCGGGAGTGTATTGAAAAGGCTCACTTAAGATTCAAGATTGAGCCGTCCAGTCATTCAAAATTTGCCAAGTCACTAAAACTAAAACCACAAAAATAGAGATGCATTTCCTCTTGGCTCACAAGCAAAACATCCAAAAACCACACCATGCAGAAATAAATAAATAAAACTGTATAACATGCAGAGGAAAGTTATTTTCCTACAGTTACCTAACAATGTACAAGTTCTCTCACTGATTTGAGAAAGCAAAGTGGCCAATTCGCTCATCAGTGAGACAATGTTAACATTGTCTCACTCTAATTACTTTGTCTCACTCCAGATTTGCAACGTGAAGGCACGGAATAGTGAGCGCGTAACATGCAGGCAACGTCGTATGCGCGCGAAATACGTTGGCAGCACTGGCTGTAAATCAGCTGGTCAGCTGTTGTACTGTTGTATTTGTAACTTCTCATTAAATGTTATATTAAAAGTTCACTTCTGTGAAAAATAAGGTTATGTTTCTTCACAAATTTATTTGTTTTATGGTAACTGTAGGAAAAGTATAATGTGCAACTCGAGTGCAAAGTACAATTGCCTCACTCGAGAAACCATTCCTCACTCGCCTACGGCTCGTGAGTAAGGGTTTCTCTCGAGTGAGTCAATTGCTCACTTTTCTCGCACAAATAACTATTGTGCAACTAGTGAGAAAAGTGAGCAATTGACTCACTCGAGAGAAATCCTTACAAATATAAGAAATACAAAGAATTGTGGTTTAATATAACATTTAATGTGAAGTGACAAATACAACAGTACAACAGCTGACCAGCTGATTTACAGCCAGTGCTGCCAACGTATTTCGCGCGCATACGACGTTGCCTGCATATTTCGTGCCTTCACGTTGCAAATCTGGAGTGAGACAAAGCAATTAGAGTGAGACAATGTTAACATTGTCTCACTGATGAGCGAATTGGCCACTTTGCTTTCTCAAATCAGTGAGAGAACATGTACATTGTTAGGTAACTGTAGGAAAAAAATGTAAAATGTTACAAAACAGTCAAAACTGCATCACCCACGAATGGAGAAACAAAGTTTATAAAGTTGTTGAGGGAGAATACAAATCTAATTGTTTTACTGTACATAGTTTTCGCTTCGCATGATTGTTGTGTCTCTTTTACAGGTTTTGCATGAGAGATGAGTTTTCCCTAAACCCTGTTTGTAACCTGCGTCAGATATTTCAGGGTTCAAATCTAGTGCTGGAGATAAAAATTACACAACTGTATTTTGGAATAACCGAACCCCTATTATGCCACGAATATCTAGTTTTGTGAGCTTAACCCGTCTTACCATAAACACTCCAGTAGTAGCTATTTCACTATAGGGAAATTAGCTTGAATTATTTAATTAATAGGCAGACATAAAGGATCTCTGAACTGACTCGCACAGGACCCCATAACCTGAAAGGTCAGCTAGGCCTGTATATTCAATTAAAATATTAAACTGCATGATAATGTAACATACAGTATAACTAAGGTATTATTAATGAAAAACTCCGAATGAAAAACTCGGCTGCATTCATTGACGATTGCAATGATTTCTAGATCAATTTCAGATTTCTACGAGAAACTTGCACTCTTATTTCCTAAAGAAACTTGTATCATAGATTAAACATACTCACAGCTTGCTGGACTCTTACTCTTGGCAAGTACGTAAAGTATACCATAATAAACACCGTAGACACGATTGCGTTGTTTTCGTCATGTCATATGTACGTACACGCGTTCGCGGGCAGACGACAGACGACGGCGCAGCGACGGTATCTACTCCAGTATCTCGGTATCAATAGAACCTAGAACTGCTCACTTTTCTCTGAGAATGTCCTTGCTTTCCCGAGAACATGGGTCTCTTGTGGTGCAAACTAGCCTCTAGTTTAGCTTACACCATTATATACGTCGCAACTTGTTTACGGATGGTTTTATATATTTAACTTGTTCTGTAAAATAGATCAACGTGCGCGTGGATTGTGTTCTAGTACCCCAACAATCTTTTGCATAACAATTTGAATTTTTTAGTTATAATATGAGAAAACACATTATAAAACTAGGCATGATTAACATAACGAATAAATCCAGGAGTTCTAACGGTTATTTTCTGTGAGGTTTAAATTCTCAAATCCTGGAATTGGATTTCTTTATTGGTTAGAAAAACATACTAAATTCAACATTTAGGTAATACAAATTATCAGTAATATCATAATTTTGTAATATTGGACGGATGGTGTTTTTGGCCATTGAGGGCATCAAAACGAAAAAGTAAATCGGTCGCGGCTCCAGGTCTTACTATGATACCTACGGTAACTGTACCTCATTCCCTATATGGGAAATTCGCTAATGTGAAGTGAATAGCCTAAGTTTCGTTAGATTGTTTGGAATTTAATTTAAAAGATAAAAAGAAACGTAGATGATTTTCTTTAATATGTGAATGGATTAGAATATAGATTATAGGGAGACTAAAGAAAATGTTGAGTTGGTACCAAAAACCTTTACGATACCGCACGGCCACTAGAGAGAGCCTGTAGGGCAAAAATAGGGCTCTACAATCTCTTGTAATAAGGGGTGTAAGGGGTCTCTAATAGGAGAAGGTTTGTAGCTAAATCAAAATAAATCACAACGAAAAATGCGCTTATTTCCCAATTTATGGAAAATAACAAAGCTAAGCGTTGTTTTGTATGTTGAGGAATCGTATTTAAAATATTGTTATTGTTTACCTATTTTTCTAAACAAATTCTGAAGCTAACCGATTGAATTACTATAGCGAAGATTTATAAAAAAAAGTAATATTTAAATAATACGCCCAATCGTAATGCTGTCTGATAAAGCACCAAGTCTCATATCATAAACAATTTTTACACCAGACGGGTGTTTTAAAAACATACTATAATGATTCGGATTTCTTTAGTTGCTAACAAAATTTGTAATACCTAGTGACGTCATCAGAACATAATTTGTAAAATATTATGAAATATACTGTGTGATTCACCTCGGTGTATTCTACAATTATTATTTTCATGTTATGGGCATTGTGAATGGCCTGGCGACCTCATAAAAGACTACGTTAAGACATACCATAGTTCATTGCAACGTTACGGGTATGATGCTTTTCAAATATGTATAACCTCAAGTTTGAAACCAAATACTTTCAATCAAGTAAAACAATACTTTATTAAGAAGAGCAATTAGAATTTTAAATCAAGTCTCGAAAAGTTCAATTTTACAGCACAAACATGTAGTCTACTCTTGAGTATTGTTTTTCTATATTAGGTCATTCTCTAATATAGAAAATATAACTGTATGGCAATATTGAGTTTAGTTCAGTTTAGTTGTACAGTACTTTTACACAATTTACGGTTACAAACAAAGTAAAGTATAGCCATGACTTGAAGTAGGTTCACTAAAAGAATAATAAATGCATGTTGTCCCACAAAATTTCGGAATGGTCTTCATTATAGATTTAATTAAGATTAATTATAGATTCAATTGTTACTACTATTGTTATTGTTCACTATTTGTACAACTTTACTATTTTGTTTCCAGTAATTTCAGTTGTGAATGTTTTTTTCATTGTAAAGTGGCTATGCCGTTGGGAAATAAAATAAAAATAAATTTATTTCACTTTTAATCTAGTTTAGTTACAATACTTCATTAATTTCTAGTTGCAACGACATTTCAGTTCTAACATATCTGCAGTATAATAGGTGGACATGATTCTGTATCTATTTATATTTAATCGTGTTTAGTTTTAATTATTTTTTTTACTGTTCGAACTACTATGTAAAATATATTTAATTTTGAATTTGAATGTTTCGAAGATAAATTTGATTGGTTAGGCGATGCATAGAATTAATTTACTATTTCACTATTTGATAAAAATATTGTTCATTGTAATTTTAAAGGGAGGGAAATGAAATCAGTACAATCAAACCCACAACTTCCTGAACTAGAATAACTACCGAGACCAAACTAAAATATATTTATAGCAATTCTAACACAATTCATACTATTTCAAACTATTCACAAAATTTGCGAGTGAATTTCAACTGAGTTCTAGCATCTCACTAGAGGTTCCAGTTTAATCATACCAGAAAAACCAGAAGCGCTTATCAAGGAGCTATTGATAAACAATAATAGGCTATTTGCACAATGTACAAAGAAAATAGACAAAGAGACATACTCATGGTGACATGGCGAACAGGAGGGACGACAAACAAAAACTGCAAGGAAGGAGAGAGAGGATACCGTTATGCGAGAAGAGAAGAGAGCGGGTCCAGGTCCTGAGATTCGCTGCCCCCCCCCCCCCCTCCCACCATTGGACTGTAACTCAGGACCGCGGAATGTGAGCTTACATCCGAAATGAGTTATTAGCATAATATTAAGCCGGGACCATTAACAGAGTTTAGTTTGGGATTCTGATCACATTTTGAGGAGGTCTATTTAGCGTGTTTTGATGGTTTCTAATGTTTTTAGGAAACGGGCCTAATCCTGGTCTTGTTACACTAACGTCGACTTCTTGTTAGATGGTGTCAGTAATTGATGAAAAGGATAATTGGCATCTGGCTACAGAATCGATACTGCTTGTTATCGAATCAGCTACCTCTAGATACGAAGGCTAACTACAACCACTTGGGTATCTGGTCAACAAAAACAAACACTCTTATAGGATGAATTGACTCTCGGACACTAACAAAAATGATAATTACTTTCGTGAGGTACAATAAAGGTCTATTACAATCGTCACAATAGTTCTACTTATATCACGATTTGACTTTTTTGGAATACTGTACCTTGACAAACTGCGGATGACCAGTTTTCAGATAATTTCCCTGGTTATAGAACAAAAGCGATTAAGACTAACACACACACACACACACGATTCACAAAAATGTATTTGTGCCGGTTATTAATACACGGTCAACGATGCGACTACTGCATTCAGCCATTTAAGTCTATAGGCAGTAAACTGAACTACGGCCAATAATTCAATAAGTGCCGAGGCTCTTAAAAATATTAATATTTATAAACGATCTTTGGAAACGAGTAATTCAGGCGGAATTCCTTCAGTAGTTTTATTGACCAATAAATCCAATGAATAAATTAAATTAACTCTAGAACCCACCCTAATAGTCTAGGCAAGAGGATGGTTAATCTCCGAGAAAATCCGAAAGTTTAACTTTGCACATTTATCTCTAGGTACCTAGGGAAGATTATACCTAAAGTCACATAAATATGAGGCGAGCTCTTGCGGCAATTAGTGAATACCTAAAAAGTTTTCAAAACTTCGATGAAATCTGTGTGAAAAGCTACGGTAGGTACCTCCATTAGTTTGCACCATTGTTCGCTCTCCGACAGTTTGAGAAAACCGACATATTTTAGCGCCATATAACTCGGTAACCATTAGGAATTTTATAATTTTTCATTTAGTATGGTCACTTTGCATTCCGACCAACCATTCTCGAGATTTTAGCCAAAAACCAAAAAAGGTGCCCTGTTTTCGATTATTGCCGCTAAATCTCGCCTCATATTTATGGAGACTTTTGGTATAATATTCACTAAGTACCTAGAATAGGTGTGCAAAGCTTCAAAAACTTTCAGATTTTTTCTGAGGTTGGGTCATTAATTTATATATATATTGACTGGACTATAAGTTACACGTTTAACTCACGAACCCCTGACACAAGCAATATTAGGACCCAAATAGTTTCAACCCAAATGCCTACTTCTGGAAAAAATCTAACAAGTTGATTATTTTGATTGAAATTATTTTTGCTTTTATCCAAAACATTTCTTAAAATACGATGTGTCTTAATTTTTTGAGATTTCTAGCGACTTTTGATTGGTTTCTGCCATGTTCGTGAAGCATATCAAGTAAGGTGAACATGACAGGACAATAAAAAACAAGCTCCCTCAACCGTGTGCGATTTCTAGTTCATTAAAATTAAGTGCAAAGAAAATTAAGAGGTTATTTTGTACGTCAGGCAAAAAAGTTCCTGGAAGCAAATGAGATCTTCCACTTTTATAACCCCGTAAAACATTTCCTCCGGATGCGAATAGTTTGTTTTATATTCCCGACGCCATCTTGGATTCAGATTTAGATCCAATTAAGTTCTAGTTGTATTGAAACAAATTACAATGATATGATTATGAAAACATCACATTGCCAATCTATAATAAATTTGGCAACAGAGACGTTCTAGGTACCTACAGTGTATGCATACACATAAATATGGCTTATGCCAGAAAAATTATAAAAATCAGCAATAACCATGGTACATTGCTTACCAAGCAATGTGTCCAATTATTTGTACCTGATGACAGGTGTAATATTAATAGCACAACTTAAAACTATTACAATTGAACAACTAATATCAAAATAGTATCAATGACTGTATATCCTCCCTAGCAGAAAACTGTACTGATAGAAGATGATGGCAATCGTCATGAATACTATAAACACAAGATACATGTAGTTATGTGCTTTTTACTATGCTGTAATTTCCAGAAGCCATTTCATCGCAAGTTTATGTACTTCTTCTTGGTTTACGATTGATTAGATTGGGTGTTGGGTCTATCAACTCAAGTATGATTGAGGTGCAGATCGTGTCAGAGTGAGTGGCGAGCGGGATGCGCATGCGCACATAACCTTTCACCACTAACGTGAAGTTCTTGTTCTATTGTACTTAGTACAGTAATAGTAATCTCAACAAACTACCGTATTGTTGGATTTATTTAATACGACTAGCGTGGTGTGACTCTCAGTGTTGTTGGGAAATTTTCCCTCATACCTCCCACACGCCTTCCTTTAAAGCAGGACACCTACTAGCCCGACGCTATCCGATCCGATCCGACTGCGTCCGACGCCTTCCACACTTTTTAAGGCAATAACCCATTGGTTCGACGGGCTCCGACAGTAACCGACGAGAAATTATATGTTTCAGGTTTTTTATTAATTTTGGCTGCTGGAGTAGTAAAATAGGTCGTTATTTGTCCATCCGATGGCTCTTCATTCGCATAATCTTTTTTCTATGATAGTCCACAATTTCAGAACCGCACTCGAATCCATAGAATCTCTGAAATATGTCCAGGCTGATTTTATTACCTACTGTATAAAAAAAGGATACTCCCAACCTTCTTCAATCAAAAGTTCGTCTACACTCATGTCACACACGAAGCTTGACAGTGACTTATCTAGGCTTCGTGCACGCAAACTGGAGAAAACTCGGATCCGACGTCCGACAACAAATGTCGTCGGAAGGTGTTGGATCGGAAATGATCGGAGTTGAGAGCGTCGGACTAGTGGGTTACAGTACATTTACAGCCTTGCAAAGTAATTCTGTCGGAAGGCGTCGGAGACTTGTCGGATCGGATCGGAGAGCGTCGGACTAGTGTGTTTCCTGCCTAAATGTGACGACCTTTAACCCCTTTGCTATTTTCGGTTCATTTTGACCTTGAAAACGTCACTAATTTCAAAAATCAGCGTTTTGTGAAGAATGGTGCTATTAGTGAAAGCCAACGCCTATCCTCAACACCCAAAGTAATCGTTTCCCTTTCAGTTGCACAAAGCAGTTAACATATTATTGGTAAAAATGTTACACCGTTTTGAGAGTTAGGTTTTGTTACTTTTGTTGGAAGGTGGTTTGTAATTATAGTGTTTTTATACGATTTTCTGATTCGGATCAGTATAAAATTAAATGCATCTGTTAGAAATCGTAATTTAATCTTATCATTACGTATTCATTTTGTAGTTTTATACAATAGGGTATCCCAGAACTCTCTGAGACATTTGATATAAAAGTGTTCCTTAGGTGACTAGTTTTCCTTCTGTTTATCTGTAACTATGTGTTTTTTATTATTTATTTCATAATTCAAGATTTATTTAAGATATAAACTTATAATTTGGTGTAAATGTGTACCCAAATAGGTCGTTTAAAGGTGTTAATGTCAAATGCCATGGACACCGGTACACAACTATAAAATATTAAGAGAGATAAAAATTCACAATTAAAAGCCGGATCAAACGACAACTTATTCACCTTAATAGAATAATAAATAATCAAGTAGGCCTAGTCACAATTTGTGTAAATTAATGCCATTTCCACAATAGGCCTACTACAACACTTACCAAAAACATTGTTTTACACCACAAATATGAAATGTTGTCCAATCATTAATCAGCAGTTTAATGTCCACTGAAGTATACAGAAAACAGCTGTAGTATAATGTGGGCAGCGTCTCATAATGTGCTGTAAAACATTGGCGCGTTCTGGGAACACTAACCGGTGCACCAGCTGCAGTACAAGACGGGTGCAGAAAATGCCGAAAATGCGTCGTTCTGGGAGACCTGTAAGTTAACCTAGCAGACAGCTAATTCCTTTTTTCCTCCACCGGTGCAAGATTCATGCACTGGAGAAAGTGTACGGTGCATAATACACTAGCGGTCTCTGATTGGGCAGTTTCTTAGAGAACCTGCAGCTACAGCAAGATGGCGGGTCCATCGAATAAATTATCAATTATTATTGTTTACCAGTTTGATGGATTATATTGCGTAATAAATGAATATAATAAAATTTTTATTCTAGAATTTATATTTTATTAATAGAATTATTTATTATGTGAAGGCAAGTTTGTTCGATTTTAATATAGTAAAGTAAATAGTAAGTTGATGTGTAAACCGGTGACTAACCGTTCTGGGATCCCAAGAGTCTTGCCCTGGGTCGGTCAAGTCAAAGAAAACATACTACTATAACCTTATAGTATAGTTATAGTAGTATGTTTTCTGTGGTCAAGTATAAGTCGGTGACTTACGGCAGGTACCTGGGACGGTACCGGCGAGTAAGTCACCCGATCATCTGCACCGGTGCACGAATACCTGTTCCCAGAACCACCCAATGTTTTAGGTGAGTATGAGCATGTGTTGTGGTGTTATGGAAATTACATTGATTTGCAAAAATCGATACCATTTGGTTATTTATTATTCCGATTAGATTTTTGTAAAAAATGTTTAATTTGGTTTGGCTTTTAACTGTACATTTTCTACCTTTCATGATAATGTTTTATAGCTGTAATATTTTTCATGGAATTTAACATAAAACAATTTAAATGGCCGCCATTTTGAAATTGATTTTGTTATAGCAACAACATTTTGTAAAATTATTTAAGTATTAACACACATTTATACCAAATTTTAAGTTTCTATCTTAAATAAATCTTGA